GAGGGGGGCGCCGAACTTTACAGAGAGGGGGGCATAAAGGCGCACGCCTGAATTGCGACGAGGTTTAAAAAAAAAAAGCCCACCCGGAGCTACAAGGCAAGGAGCGATCCAAAGGCGGAGCCTGATTTAATATTAATTACCGCGAAAGGAACCCACCCCCGGCAAAGCATACTTAAATCTCACCCTCAGGGGTGGATTTCGTTCCCTTTGAAGCGCCTCTTATAGGAGTAATGGGGGTGCAAGAGAAAGGCTGAAAAGGCTCAGGGGTGGATTTCGTTCCCTTTGAAGCACCTCTTATAGCAGTAAGGGAGGGGGAGAGAAAGGCTGGAAAGGTGAGGGGGGGCTGGATAAAGAAAATGAGACCTATGGGGGGGAATGAGGACGGCGATACCTTTCTGTGGGGCAGAAGAAAACTCAATGGGGGGGAAATAAAAAACCACCAAGGGGGGATTGACTAGGAAGGATGAGAAGCTACGGGGTCCAATCATCTGGTGCGGGGGGGAATCAAATAGCAACGGCCTTTTCAAGAAATGAGGGGGTGCTCAATTGGAAAGAGGTCTTAGGGGTATTAGGAGAGTCATTCCCTCCCCCAGGGTTTAATGAGGGGACTGTAAAGGGCTCTTGGGCACCAAGGGGGCCCTGGACTGCTTTAAGCCCTCCCCTCTCCTCTTTTCCACCCCCTCCCGCATTCCCTCACCTCCATGATGCAGTTTGCAGCCTCCGCCATCTTGCGAATGAGACACAGAAAGAGAGAAACCCTGGCCCGACTCCCCCAGCCTCGTTGAGCAGAGGGCGGGGATTAGACGACCCCATTGGGCAGCATTGCTGTCACTCAAGGGTCAAGAAAAAAAAGCGGGCGAACCCCCCCGCCTCCGGAATGTTCATTGGCTGACGGGGCGCCTGATGGGCAGGAGAGGAGAATCTCTATTAGGCGGGCTCAGGAAGGAGAGCTGGGCGCCCGCCCGCATCGATGACTCTGGGCAGGGAACTATGAAAAGCTGTCAGTCAGTGTTGAAGGCGTGCCTTTTCTGCTGGGATCTGAAATGTTATTGGTTCGTTAATGAAGTTTGCCAATCAAGAGCAGTGAAACGGATCCCTCATTTGTATATGAATATTCATTGGTGTAGCTGTATGTCAGTCAAAACAAGGTCTCGGGTCTTCTCCATAGATAATTGATTTTTTTAATTTTTGGCGGTGAGGAGAAATAAAAACTATTCTCTGACTAAACTGAGAAAACAAAAGCGTTCGCATTCAAACCATATGATCCAAACCGATTCGCCATGAGGGAAATATGACATAGGAGGCGAGAACGAGGTGCTATTGATTGTGAAGGGGAAATGGCCGGTAGTGCAAACTTGAATATCCACCACCAAGAAAATGGCTTACTGATGTACAGAGGCAAAGCAACCTCGAAGATATAGAGACCCACGCTTCACACTAAAGCCAAACTCGATTGGCTGAAACAAGATGCCACTCAAGCAAGATCCTGCCCATAACGTGATTCGTCACTGGCTGAGCTGGTCATCACTTACAAGAACACGCCTTTAGAGCGCCTTGATTTTCTCATTGGCTGAATCTCCTGTCAGTTATAGATGCTGATGGTCTAAGATTATTTCAGACACGTATTGGTGAAAAGAATGTCAATTAGCCGTTCGTCTTATCATAGCGAATAATTTATTTGCCGTCTATGGCCAAGGTCAAATTCTATTGGGAAAGGTAAGACATCACTCAGAACTTGGCGACACCCCTATTTGCTAAGAGGAACGCCCATTGGGTGGGCTAAAATAAATTCTCCCGTGCAATTGGATAATTCTGCTGTTTTTCAGGAGGCCGACAATTCTTTATACCAATCGATACATTGACGGGATTGGAGGTGGTGCCATCTGTAACCTGGGGATACCTCCTTGAAAGCACATTGGTGGAGCTGAGTCGCACTCCTATTGATTTATCGAGGGTGCCATTGATAATTTCTAGGCTACACGAAATTTGCACGTACGCACGTGCGTCTGTCTTTCTCACAGTCCCTGAGGTGGAAGTGAAGAAAAGGAGTTCCGCTCAGTAGGTCGCCGGGTTCTGACGTACTGCTAGGAAAAGAAATACCAAAATCCGTATTGGGTCAAATTTTTATTAGACCCATCAAAAGGGCTGAAAGATGGCTGCAGGCTTACGAGATGGCCAGATCTCTTCATCAAGAGAGGCCATCCAAAGGGGGAGGGGGGAGAGGAGAAAAATCTGACTTGAACTCCTGAGGTTTACGGGATTATTTCATTCATTCAAAATATTTTAATCCCACCTTTCTCCTTGTTTTGAGATATAATAGAGAAGAACAGGTTTGCTGGCTTGTAAATACGACATAATCAAGTGAAATTATCTACCAGATTTCTCCCTGGGGAGGCAATAAGCATTTATATATTTAAAATATTTTTACCCCGCCTAAGCATTGATCCCGTTTCTGAAAACGTAAAACCGAAATGTAAACTCAGATCTCTCTCCATACTGCATGACACGAACAGGCTCCTTTGTATTGGAAAACTGAGGTATTATGAGTCTTTAGCATGTTATCTAATAATCGGAAGGTATTATCATCTGTAGCAGATTCTTTCCAATCCTAAACTAGATGGTGCATTTGCGAAGGATACAGCTGAATATAAACAAAACATAATAAAGCCTCATGTCACAAGTGGGGAATATGTGGCAGTTCAAACATTTTCAGATTGCAATTCCAGTAATCTATCAGCTTTGGCTATGTTATCTAGTGCTGTTGGAATCTGGAGTCCTTTGGGAGGGCTATGTGTTCCCCAGCCCCTAATGTAAGAAAAGGCTGAACAGGTTTTGGAAGCATTATAATGCCTTTTTTCTTTCTTTGTTATAGTTTAGTACAAGTTTTTAAATGAAAAATGATAATTTAATTTTATTCATTTTAACATTAAATTTTTAAAATCACTTTTAGTTTACAGATCATTTCGGAGAAATTGTGGCATCAGTCTGAGGAAATTGTGAATTTTGTCCCCTTGTAATATACGAGTGGACTTCTATTGTGTTTCACACCAGCAGAAGTTGTGATCTAGATTCTTTCTCCATTCCAGCAGCTTGACGTCACCCCATGTTCTTGCTGTCCTATAAAGCAACCAAAGCAGAATGTGCTTCATTGGCTATTAAGTCTGGTTCGGTTCCTATTTTATAATGTGCAATGACTTCTCTCCCAATTCTGTGGCAACACGGTTGGGGAACACTGCAAATCCCATCGGCCAGCATGGCCTATGATGAGAGATAGTGAGAGCCGCATTTTAGTAATATATGGACAGCCACATATTTCCTGTCTCTGAACTAAATCACAATATGCTTTCATCCTTTCTTCTGTCATTGCCCTCCACAATGGGGAACTGAACTCTCAATCTCTGGCTTCACAGCCAGGTACCTCACACAGAGCTATCCAGCCAGCCTTTCTCCTATGGCTCTGAATATATATTCTGACCATTGATTTGTTTAGATTAAGACTGTCGAGCAGCACCATCCTGACAGCACAGTTTCAGGATCAACTCTCTCACAACCTTACTTAATAATTGCAGGCAGTCAAGTCAATTCTGACCCACAGTGACCCTTTTCAGGGTTTCCCAGGTAGAGAATACTGTACTCAGAAGTGGTTTGCCATTCCCTTCTTCTGTGGACATCCGGAGACTGTGTGGGTTGCCCAGGGCCACAGTCTGGCTCTTCCCCTAGAAGGCACAGTGAGAATCAAACTCTCCACCTCTGTCTCTGCTGTCGGGTGCAGAAATTGAACCTGACTCCTGCTTCATGAAATATGTCCTTCACTACCAAATCAAAGTACGCACTGTCCACTGTCCTGCCATTATTTTACCCCACATAACGTTTTCCACCCTGTCTCCTTCCACCCTGACCTTTTATCACTCCCTCCATATCTGTCCCACAATCTTTTCATCCCAGTTCACTTACCTAATATATATATTTATATTCTTTCATCATGGACCATTATGCACCTTCATGCACTCCCTTTTATGATACCCAGTGTATTGTGGATATAGGGGTGTACTAAGATGCATAAGACCTGCGTTCAAATCCCCACTCGGCCATAAAAACTCACTAGGGGATGGCACAGGTGAAAACACTCTAAATAGCTCAATTACCTTGGAAGCCTTATTAGGATCCCTATAAAATGGTTTAAATGTATGGCACATCATTCACACATGCAAAAAGTTTTTTTTACTAGAATTTTTTCAATCTCCACATTTTTTTTTCCTTTTAACTCTCCCCAATCACCAGTTCCTATTCCTAGCCTGAAATCTCTTATTCTCTGATTCGCCCTATACTAGCAGCAGCCCCTATGGATTATTTGGTTTAGGACAGTGGGGTCTCACCTTTCCTTCCCTTCGATCTCATCACCCCATACATCTCCCGCCTCCCTCTGACACAATCCCGCCACCTCCCTCCCGGGCTCTCTCCACCAACCCCACCTTAATTCCCGAGAACTGCTCGCTGTTCGCACTTCCCCTTTAAGACCTTCCAACAACCTCCTCCTCCTCCTTCTTCTCTTTTTTTCCTTCTTCCTTTCGGTAAGCGAAGCCTGATGGGAGGCGGGTTCCAGCCAATCGGAAAGCCGAGGAGGCCAAGAAACGATCAGGTGGCGGCGGGGGGGGGAAATCACAGAAAGAGACCCTGCGCGCACAACGGGAAGAATTCGAGAGAGGGGCGGAGTCAGCCTCTGCCACGCCCTCCGAGTAGGTGGAGCTTCTGGCCGGCAGGGTCTGGAGTTCTTGGTTGGGGGTGTGTGGAGTGAGTGAGTAGTTTTGTTCTCCTCGGCTAAGAGGTAAGTGCACTCGGGATCCCCGGCGCCCTCCAAAGGGATCCGGCTTTTATCCCCCTTTTAACTAACCTCTAAGGAACCATGGCGATTTTTAAAGGACACTCAGCTCCCCCCTCCCCCGTTTTAACCCTATATTAATTCTTCTTCCCCCAATTCTCAATGGGATCCACTTTTTATGCTTCTTTGCTCTCCCTCCAAATCCTGCAGCGTTTACCTCCCTCCTCCCCTGCGCTCCCTCGGCTTGCCTCTTTGCAGTCCCATCGCCACCAAGATTCTGTGTCACCCGCCACTTCCAGGCCGGCCACCTCCAATCTAATATTGTCTGCATTCCTCCCTCCAGTTCCTGGCAGGGTTCTTCAAAGAGCCCATGTGTCTGTTTCTCTTCTTTGACACTTGACTGGCCCCTAGCCTGGTGCAAACTAAGCACCCCGCCCTATCTTCCTCAAGGTTTGCTCACTCTCCTTGTTTTAAAGGAGAGGATAAATCCACTTTTCCCTGGCTATTTATTTGAGCCCCAGGGAGTTTTGGTATCAACCCTCTTGGGTGGGGGGGGGGAAGGCAGTGATCCACCATTCCTGAAAGCTTGTATTTGCAAAGTTTAAGGGCACAGCTTCTTGCGAGGTACCTCCTCTGGCTTCTCTCTCTCACCATTTCCCTGCCTCAGCTGTTACTGCTACTCAAGATTGTATGGGACCTGCCAAGAAAATCATAGGGAGAGGATGGACTCCTGGGTTCTTTTTGAATAAAAGGTGAAGGAGAGGAAAGGCATCTAACCACATTTTTGGAAGGCGTGCCTAGTTGGTTCTTAATGGTATAAAATAAGTGGGCTGGGAGCCAGAGCTTGTCATAATAGCAAATCGAGACTCTCAAGTACTCTGGAAAAAGAAGAGGGAGAAAATTAGCTGAACATATCCTGAAGCCAATGGAAGTTTATTCAGACACAGGAAGAGAAGCGGGATTCCAAGGGGCTTCTGAAAGTCCAGCCTGTAAGGTGACCCTGAGAAATGCCGCACCATTGGAAATAATCCACTTTTCTTGTTTCCCTTCCCAGGCTGAATCCTGAGCCTCTCACCCCTTTGCCGTCCCTTGCTTTCATCCGCTGGGTGCTATGCCACTGGCCCGCAGCCTCTCGGTGACCTCCTTGACGGGATTGGAGGATTGGGAGGATGAACTTGATCTGGAGAATGCCGTCCTTTTTGAGGTGGCTTGGGAAGTGGCCAATAAAGGTAAGTTATGGTGGGTCTGTTTTTAGAAAAGGAGGATTTATTAGGAAAGTGCTGAGAGTGCAGTGGTTTAGGGTGAATTGATGACTGGAAACCAGAATACCTGAGGTTCTTTTCTTAGATACAGAAGGATGGGGACTGGTATGAATGAGAGTTAGGAGAAACTGAGGACCAGGCTCAGTAGGCTGTTTGTGAGCCAAATGATGTCCGGGGCTTGCATATAATCAGGCCTGTCATTCAATGCTCTAGAAAGATGAATGTTCAGAGCAGTAACTCATGGATTTTCCTACCAAGTGAGAGCTTGTTTCTTGCAGGGAGAAGTGCAGAGTCTTAACTTGTTGCATTAGTGGGGGGGAAATGCAATGGAGCTTGTGGGAGCCAAGATGCCCAAGGGTCTCTCTCAAAATGGATTCCAGGCTGTCAGAAGTTGGAGCAAAGGATGCTGGGAGACAAAAGCCCTTTCTGGGTGCTCAGAATGTGAGGCTACCACAGAGTTTGGAGAGGAACTTTTTCCAAACTGATATATTTCACATGCAAAGACTGGGAATACAGTAGCTCTGTTGTAGTCTCTCCACGATATTCTGTGCAGGGTGGGAGGAACTGTCTGAAGGACACATCCTTCTCCTGTGGAGTATTTTTTGCAGAGTTTGAGATGCTTGAGATTTGGGTTTAATAGTATGGAGAAGAGGTTTTCCCCTTCAGAAAGCTGCCCTCCGTCTGAGTTATACTACCCTGCTCCTCATAGGCTGCCCCTTCTGAGCTTGTTCATAAAGGGATTTTTATAGTTTATCTGTGTTGCCTCTTTGAAGCAACAGGGTGCTCAGTGTCTTAATCTTCATTTTTTCCTTTCCTTTTCTTGGATCTCCCAGCTATGTTTTGAAGCAACAGGGTGCTCAGTGTCTTAACCTTCACTTTTTCCTTCAATCTCCCAGCTATGAGACCTCCTCACTTGTGTTAGTGGTATTTGGGATGATGAGAGGCAGTAATCTCCTATTATGCTGAGTGCTTCCAGTCAATAGGTTGGGCTGCCACAGCAGAGTGATCCTGCTGCATGCTCCATCATATCAAATTGAACCGCCCTGTGTCTGCAGAATGATCTTTGCTGAAGGTACCAAGATCCTGGTGGGAGTTATTTTAGGCTGGTTTCCGCTATTATAATCCGGTCAAGGGCAGGAAAGTTGTGTGTTGGGGGAGGGGGGCAGAATGTTGAAATGGCCAGTGAGTTACTTCAGGTAAGGGTAAGAGGCCTCGCTAGGGATTCCTTTCCATTCAAATTATTTGTTGAGAGTGTCAAGAGTGCTACAGGATCAGCCCCTATATGCGCTCTGAAGGACGTGACCCCATTTGAGGCCAAAGTTCTCCTGGCTTGTTCCCCAGGTTTCGAGCGCGTGCTTTGCATGTTCTCTCTGGATACAGAACACAAGAAGGTTGCCCTTAAGCCTGCCCCATGCATGTTAAGAACATGCACACTGTTCTGTTGCATAAGGAACTTTCTGAAATGTCACCCAGTCCTTGGAGTAGCTGTATGCTGTGCTTCAGAAGATGATGCACTTTTTCTGAGCAGCAGATGGGGTTCGCAGGACTTCCCTTACTGACTGTGCACTGCCTAGTGTCATGATTCTGCTATATCAGTCGTTTCCAACCTCGGGTAACCCAGGTATTTTTGGACTGCAACTCCCAGAAGCTGTGCTGGCTGGGGTTTCTGGGAGTTGCTGTCCAAAAACACACAGGTTAGCCAAGATTGGGAACCACTGTGCTATATCATGGGGAGCCTAGTAACTGGATTTAGGCTTTAGCTTTTGCTGAAACCACGTCACGTTTCTAGCTCTCATGAGATAAGTGCACATCTAGCAGTCCATGCCGTGTTCCACTCAGTGCATGGAAATGTTTAACTACATGCCATGATTTCCATCTGTTAGAGAACCAGACTTCTATGTTCTATACTTCCTTTCTGGTCTCTTAACCTCATTAAGCTAGCCTATTCTTTCTCTCTGCATCCCTGCTGTGTTGAATGGCTACACATCATTAAACAGCAATTGTGCTTGTTCTAGTGTATGCATTGCTTCTCAATGCACGCCATTCATTTATTCCTTTCTGCCCTCCTGTTTGCTTCCCCAATTCAGCAAAAAAATGCTTCAGATCTTGCGTCTGAAAACAGTATGCTCTACAAAAGGCATTGGCTGCCAGAGAGATGAGATGTCCCCCACCCCATCCCCACCGCCCAGACCCTGAGCCGCCACTGGCAAAGGGGTTACTTTGGATGGATTTCAAGAAACTTGCATTGCATATCAAATACGGTAACCTATTTTTTGATTGAACACTGGGGTTCCCAAAAATCATGTCAAATAGTACTCCAGCATCTACTGTGGCTCCACATTGTCGTTTGGACACAATTCAAAATGCTGGCTTTAAGCTGTAGAGCCATTATAGAACTTAGTGTTTGCTGTTTACCTTAGAGACCACCTTTGCCCAAATGTCCTCTAAAGACCAGAAGCTCTCGTGATCACCCAGAAGCTGTATTATCCTTACAACAGAGCTTGCTAAGAATGGCATATCATTGATGGCTAAAGTTGGGCGCTGAGCAATTGTGATTATTTTTGTTTATTTGGACCAGCTTTTAAACACACCCAGCTAAGCAAGTATGGATTGATTTTAGACATTCTTCTCTTTTATTTCATATTAGGGCATTTTACTTTGGTGTTCTTGTTTTTCAACAACTGTTGATGCCCATCTAGAGCCCAGGAGGTGGAGCAAAATGTGTCAAAGTCTGAACTTTTATACATTCTTAACTGAGAAAAACTACTAGATACAGTGGGACCTTTTTTTTCTAAGCAAATGTACATAAGATTGCCCTGTGGTTTTCAGCTGTAGTCAGGATTTGGAGTTTGTTTGATCCTTTGTAGTATTGTATGTTAGCTTGTGTTTACATATAGAGAAAAACCATTGAAGGTGAGAAGCCTCTCCCAGCCCAAGCTGCTTGGGGTCTTCTGCACCTCCTGCTTGCTGTTGCAAGCATCAGAGGTCACCCTGTAGGTTTCAGTGGACATTATGTTTGCATAAAGAGATATTAGAGACATCCAGAGAGGATCCACCACTTATGTAACAAAGCCTTGCAGGACCATAAGGGATCAATAAGGTTCTGACCCAAGATTGTATCCTAGTACAGTGGTGCCTCGCATTGCGACGTTAATACGTTCCGCAAAAATTGCTGCCGAACTAAAACGTTGCTATGCAATATTAAAAAGCCCATAGAAACGCATTAAAACCTGATTAATGCGTTCCTATGGGCTTAAAACTCACCATTCAGCAAAGATCCTCCATAGCACAGCCATTTTCGCTGCCTGGTAAGTGAGGAATCCGTCCCAGAAAATCACGGGTGGCCATTTTGTTTACCCGGTGGCCATTTTGAAACCGCCGATCAGCTGTTAAAAAATCATCACTTTGCGATGATTGGTGCCCGAAGCAGAGAACCGATAATTGCAAAGCGAAATTCCCCCATAGGGAACATCACAAAGCGATTGCTTTTGCGATCGCAAAAAAAGCATCACAAAGCGATTTTGTCGTAAAACGAAGCGATTGCTATGCGAGGCACCACTGCTGGCCAGGATTTCTGGGAGTTGAAGTCCAAGAACATCTGGAGGCCCAAGGTTGGGGACCACTGCTCTAAAATACACTGATAATATCAGAAAGATCTTAGCTTAAGACTATATATGCGTCAGGAGAATAAGTGAATATATGAAACCTGTTGCAGAATGGAATGTTGCTGTACAGTATTCTGATTCTATCCTTTCTATATCATTCCCCACCTTCCACTTTTCCAGTACCCCCCCCTTAACATGCATTTGGTATTTGTAGATAGGGAGCAGATGGGTCCTCACTGGTCTGTTTTGGGATAGCTCTACTTTTTTTTCTTTAAGTGTGTTTATTTCTGTATATGTGTGAATATTTCTACAAGTCTGGGAGTTTTTCCCAAGGCTGCAGATATCTCTTTGCATAGACGGTGCTGTTTTGGCTACCTAGGGACAGGCGACCCGGAAAGCTGAAATAGCTGGGAATGCTGTTTAGGATATAAACGAACAGTGTCTGAAAAATCTGGCAGATACATCAGTATGAGTAAGTGCCTCTTCCATTCGCTCAGAGTTAAGAGTCTGTCATTCTTTGGATTGATTAAAATCCAAACCTAAGATCTTGTGCTGCAAAGGGATCTTGGAGAGAATGACACAGCAGTTATGCAGGGCCTATGGACAGCTGGACTCAGGGGTTGCTGAGGAACTGGACCGCGTCAGACGCTGTCCTTTGGTGGCATCCAGTTGCAGCCTCCCAGCTCAAGTTTTGCTTGAAGCCAAATAGAGCAGCAATGCCCCGTGATTTCCATACGTGATGCCTGTACTTATCCTGCTCCAAAATGGAACCTACCCCTTACAGAAAAGCATGTTGTTCGTGACTCGTATTCAGGGCATGAGATGGAAACCCTTTTTCGATGTAGCGTGAAATTCACAGCTGAGACCATTGGGAGGAAGAAGAACCACCAGGCAGGCAACCCTCCACCTCACCTGGATCCAAGTCTAGTGCACACCGTCCATCCCCTTTCCTTCTGGCTTCTACCTGGCACTGCTATGGCTACCATGGAGAGAGTACTAGTAGCATCCTCTCCATTGAGCTTAAATCCAGCTCTATGACCTATTGATGACCTACTGAACTCATAATCAAGAATCTTGTGCCTTAAATCCAGCTCTATGACCTATTGATGACTCCTAATCTTGTGCTTGAGGTTTTTTTTTCTTTCTTACCCTCTGTTTCCTGATCCTTTTTCATTTTAGTTCATGTCTTTGGGGCTGTAAGCTTGGGGGCAGGAACTACCTCATTTCTTCATGAGGCCAAGGCTGGAGGCATTCAAGAGAAAAGTGGAAAACCATCTGTTGGATCTACTTTGATTGGGATTCCTGTCTTGAGCAGGAGGCTGGTCTTGATGGCCTTATAGGTCTCTCCCAGCTCCTATGATTCCATGGTTCGCAGGAGGCTGGTCTTGATGGCCTTATAGGTGTCTCCCAGCTCCATTATTCTATGATTCATAGGTCCATCTAGGAGCCTTTTAGGTAAGGCAAGGGTCCAAAATCCCTCTTGCATAGACAAACCTGTTTATTAGAGGATCAGGTTTTGTGGACTTAAGCTCAGTTAATCTGAAGTTCATTCTGAAATGTTATCCAGCATTTTCAGCTATGCTCCAAAGCTCACATATTTGGGGATGAAACTAAGGACTGTGATTCCAGAGGGCAATTAAATGTAGTAATGATTGGTTGAGAATTGGAAGTAGTACTGATGTTTGTGTGTGTGTGTATACTCATACATTTATGATGTGCAATCATAAATATGTTATCTATCTGTGACACTTCAAATGTTTGTAGACTGCAAGTTTCAGTTGCCATTGTTACTGGATTTGCTTGATAAGGCTAATGCAGATTGTAGGCCCCAAACACGCGGAGGGCCACAGTTGCTCACTTCAATCTATATTGGGTCCTACTGGACTCGCCATAGTTCTGGACCTCCATGTGTTTTGACATATGACTCTCATTGGGTGCAGAACATGTGACAACGCCAAAGATTCCTCACCCCAAGATAAAGAAAAATGGTCCTTAGAGGTTTATGAATAATCCCTTTCTAAACAGGCTGTTTCTCAGCTTTCTGAACTTTGTCTTTTCTTTCGTCCCTGAATCCTTAGCCTTCAGTGCACACACAGATGCCCCCATGCTCTTGCGTTTTGCAATGTTAGTTCGTAGCCAAGATTCTCATAGAGCCTGTTCTTTTATTTTCTTTCTTTTAAATTACCTGGCTTGAAAATAGGAATGAAGAGCCAAGCCTCTTAAGATTCTGAAGAGAAAAATATAGTAGTAGAGGGAGTCTTGCTCCCTTACATGGAAGAGAGCCAGAAAGAACTGGAAATAATGTGATTGCCCAGAAGAAAAGTGAGGAATGGCAGGATGGAAGAGCACAAGAAAAGGAACATGGTGTGTGTGTGTGCGTGTGTCTAGTGCTGGGATGGGCAGCTTGTGATTCTCCAGAAGCCGCTGGACTGCAACCTCTGCCATCAGTTGACTTTGTTGGGCAGGCTAGTGGGAGCTATAGCTGAACATCATCTGCAGGGTCCCAGGTCATCCACACCTACTATACAGAAAGTAGCAGCACCTGGCTTAAAAACCAGATTTTGCAATGTGTGCATTTCCTAGGCTGGGATGATGCCTACACCTTTTCTCTGTTCCTTTGGCAAGCAGAGCACTGTGAAGTTGTTTTGTTCCATTTCTAAAGTGCCAACAACTGCATGGAAGAGTAGCTCTACTTCTGCTGTCATGTTCAAATGGGAACCTGTCTGGAAAAGAGGTCTAGTTGTTCTGATACATGTGGCCTTCAATTGTCTCACACACATGAATTCTCTGGAAGACATTGAAGCGGCAGCCGAACAATATTTTGCTGCCACTCTCCTCAATCTGAAGGTTCCCCCAGGCATGTTGGGCAACAACTCCCATCATCCCCAGACAGCTTGGCTAGATTTTTAAGTTCCTTAATTGTACTCTAGTCTTCCCAGTCAGACCCTTTCTGTTAGCTTGGATTATGTCACACATCCTGTGTATATGGAATGTAGATTATGGGAGCTATGGTCAGAGATGCGGAGAGGAGCTCTCTTTGGAGAATATGCAGTTCTTCCAGTGATGCTTTTTAAATATATATATCACACATCCTGTGTATATGGAATGTAGATTGTGGGAGCTATGGTCAGAGATGCATTTCACTTTTATTATATTCAATGGGTCAAGATTTGTTTTGTTATGTTTTTGTTGCTATTTGCTTGGTTTATTCTTTGCCATATTTGTATTTTATTATTATTTTTAACTGCCTTACACTTTATGAGGAATATAACAGTGTATATAGAGTGGTGCCTTGCAAGACGATGTTAATTCGTTCTGCGAAAAACGTTGTCTTGTGAAAACATCGTCTTGCGAAACGCAGTTCCCCATTGGAATGCATTGAAATCTAATTAATGCGTTCCAATGGGGGAAAAATCGTCTTGCGAAAATCGTCCATAGAAGACATCATCTTGTGAAACACGGTTCTCCATTGGAATGCATTGAAATCGAATTAATGCGTTCCAGGTTCCCCCCCGCATAGCGACGAATCCAGATAGCGACGTTAATCCTGGAACAGATTAATGTCGCTTTGCGGGGGCACCACTGTATTTAATGCGTTCCAATGGGGAACAATCGCCATCTTGCGAAAATCATCCATAGAAAACATTGTCTTGTGAAGCGCCACAGCGATCGCAAAAACCAATCGTCTTGTGGATTAATTGTCCCATGAAGCAATCGTCTTGTGAGGCACTACTGTACAGTATTGCAAACTATGTACTCAGTTTATTTCAATAATTGTATTTATCTGCAATAGAATTCACAAATGCAACATATGTGGTTGTACCAAATGGGCAATGTAGCAAGGAAAACTAAAACATAGGTTTTTTAAGCCAAGAAACTTCCTTACAAAGCCTTTGTGAATAAGATTTCTTCCTCTGGTGGTGAAAAGTGTTTAAAGATGATCTCCAGTGAACCTCTTTTCAGAAGATTAGTTCACAAGTGAGCTGCCACTACCCAAAAAAAAGACCCTCTGGCAGTCAACTGCCTACCCATTGATCTGTTTGGGCAAGCATCTGAGAAAGGAGACTTTAAAGTTTGTGAACATAATGGAAGATGATGGTTTTAGGTAACCTATCCCTAAGCCAATTGGGACTTTATAAGATTCAAGCCAGCACTATACTGTACTGGATTCACATATAGTCTGGAAATCAGGGCAGGGCAGGCATAATAAGACGAAAACACTCCATTCCATTTAATTATCTATAGGCCCTTTAGGATCAGCTTCCATTCTTAGTTTTTAAAGGGCACCCTCATATACAAGTGCATTGAAATAATTAACAGTACATGTACCACACTAGCGGGATACAGAAGCTATCTTAGGGGAATTGACCCAGGATTTGAGCTATCCTATTATAGCAATAAAATTAACACTCAACAGCAGTGTTCCAGATTTCAACTACAAATGGAAACATTATTTTCATTTGTTTACATTTATACTTCCAACAACATTACTTCCATTTTTTATGGCCTTAAAGCTTGATGGGATAAAGGTAATTTCAGAATGCCAATACTGATACAATTGTTGTTCTCAGAAAAAGTAGACCTTTTGCTTCTATCATGGTAGGACCCAGATTATTTGACAAACAGATTGATTTATGGGACATAGGATACAAAAGGTTGAGAAGTATTTGTCTAATCTCCTAAATAACTACAGCTGTACTAGCAAATAAGAAAACACTTTAGTGCTTTCCACAACTTAAGTATGCCATATTTTTCTGCCTTCACCACTGATCAGTCTCCAAGTACGAGAGTTATGGCGCTGGCATTCAGCACCCAGTATCATTTTGGTGCTTAGCTGGGGATCACAACTGATCCTGATTAGATACCCCACTTGTGGATGCTCCTAAAATCATCTGCTTGGATACTGCAGGAACAAAATGTTGGATCCTGGCATGATTTTTCTTATCTTACATAGAGCATCATGTGGTTATATCCTGCCCTGGGTTCTTGAAATGCCCATTTGTATGCACAGCTTGTTGGGTGGCGATCGTTTGCAAGCGTCTAGATGAGAAGCTAATGTCACCTCTTTTTTTTTCAGTTGGTGGGATCTACACAGTTATCCAGACCAAAGCCAAGATTACACTGGACGAATGGGGCGAGAATTACTTCCTGATCGGTCCTTACTTGGAACTGAATGTCCGCACACAGGTGGAGCTCATAGAACCGCCCAATCCTGCCATCCGCCGCACTATTGATTCCATGAATGCAAAAGGATGCAAAGTAAGAAGTTGCAGAAGGGGAAAAAATTGGAAAGAAGCCCCTGGGATTTTTGTGGCTGGGAGATTCTGATTCTTACAAACAGCACCAGAACTTGAGAAACTTACTTTCTCATATGACAGCTTCCAGAATCTCGCATGCTGGCTGAGGTTTCTGGGAGTCGTCATACCAAAAAGTAGCTTTCCCAAGAGCTGAACAGTACCTGACCTCACATCTGGTGAAGACATGGGTTGTACCTAAGCTACGGATTATGTGTTTTGCACATAGATGCTCTAAGGCTTGATCCCAGATTTTTCTACTAAATCTAGGTGATTGATAATAACCTTAGATTCCGGAGCAGCCTTCCATACCATGGTGTCTTCAAGATGTTTTGTGCTACCCTTTACATCAACTCCAACAATTGATGCTGCTGGATGGGGCTGATGGCTGTTGTAGTGCAGCAACATCTGGAGGGCATCACATTGGAAAAGATGTTGTAAAGTCACAGTAGACCATCGTAGCAAAGAACGGTTCCAGAAGTGTCTCTTTGCTTCCATCCTGTGATTCGGTGTTGCCTAAGAGTTTTTTCCCCCTTCCTCCTCATCCCTCTGTGCAAGCCAGTGGGCAAGATGGCTAATTACAAAAAACATACAGGAGGTGCTGAAGACTTCCTGGTCATTACTGCCTTGCAGTGGCTAGTACAATAGTTTGCCACTGGGAATTATTGCTACTCAGTCTATGCTTTAATCTTTGGCACTCACTTCCACAAGATATAATTAACAGATCCTAACTTAGGTGGTCTGTTGGTACCTTTGTGGCATTCATTTTACAAACGTTTTGTAAAACAGGAATCTAGAAGTGGGAGGGAATAGTTAGGCTGAATAGTTAATTTGTGGGATTATTTGTTTAGCTTGCAGCTATGGGATTTTTGCATGCTGAGTTGTATTTCCACCCCTAGGCCTTGACAAAAATTGATTTGCTTCAGGAGTAGTAATTCCTGAACTCTTGGCTCAATCTCTCAATTTTCAGCAGCATCTTGCAAAAAGGTGGTGCGAGAACAGGATGCTCTCTGTATCTCCATTGTTCCTATTTATTTCTTGTAAACCTACTTAAACCTGCCTTTCCTCCAAAGAGCTTAAGGCATGATAAGCAATGGCCCAGGGTCATCTGGGAAGTTTTTTGGCTCAGTGGGGTCTTGAAACGGGAATGTCTGGGTCCAGCACCTTAACCATTGGACCACCCTGGATCTCATTAGATACTATTTAATTTTGTTCTTGGTTCTGTGACAGCCTTCCTTCCCTTTCCTCTTTCCCTCCATATGTACTGGACTAGAACGCCTATAATCTCTGGGGTGACAGGAGCTATAATCTTAACACACATATAAAGTAATCTGTCTGTTTACTCTTTCCTTAAATGGTGGAGTTCTTGAGTGTATCTGAGTAGGGGTAGCAACACCATCTTGTATATTGGAGACAGAGAAACCCTGGTCCATAGGCCAGGTGTGGTCTACTGTGAGGGGGGCGCTACTTTTTGGTTCTACAAGTGTTTTCTGTTTTTCCCTGCAGTCAGTAATAAAAGAATATTTACACTTTAAATACCCTGCATGGAACTCAGCTCCTGTTTTCAGGCAGGAGAGCTATTGCAGAGAACTGCACTGAGTGTTGTGGAGAGAAAAGCTGTGGCACCGGCACCGACTTTTACGTTCAACTGAGCTGTGCTTTGTATGCTCAGTAGGAAAATGTTCTAATTCATACGAATTGTCTCTCTGTCCCCTTCCTGACTCCCAAATCCCTTGGTCTCAGACTGCTAGAAGACGGCTTTGAGCACTTTTCTCCCATTGTGATGTGGCCTCTGGTCTCAAAAAAAGAGTCCCCCTTCCAATTATACACAACCCCTCACAGCGGTTAGGCAACTCCATGGGTTGAATGTAAAATGTGCTCTAGATAAAGGAAAGGAGCGAGCAAGGAATGCTTGGAATTGGAGCAGAAACGCAGGAGTCCTAGAGTGCAAGCTTTTGGGCCAGGGTTGCTCTTACAGTGTTCCACAAAAGGGTTTCACCAGACCTGGAAGAAGATGTATACTTCCCCTAACCAAAAGGGAGAGACAAGACCCTATAAGGACAAGTGCAGTGGTTTCTGGTTTAATGAGAACAAATAACATGTTGGGGTTCACGACCGATCTCCTCGTGTTTTGCTGATGCTTTTCATGATGGCAGGGATGTGGTGGCGCTGTGGGCTAAACTACAGAAGCCTGTGCTTCAGGGTCAGAAGACCAGCAGTCGTAAGATCGAATCCACGCAACGGAGTGAGCGCCTGTCGCTTGTTCCAGCTCCCGCCAACCTAGCAGTTTGAAAGCATGCAAATGCAAGTGGATAAATAGGGACCACCTTGGTGGGAAAGTAACAGCATTCCATGTCTAAGTCACACTGGCCATGTGACCACGGAAGATTGTCTTCGGACAAAACGCTGGCTCTATGGCTTGGCAACGGGGATGAGCACCTCCCCCTAGAGTCGAACACGACTGGACAAAAAAAATTGTCAAGGGGAACCTTTACCTTTCATGCAGGCAGCTAAACTGACCAGAAAGAGATAGCTCATCATGAATTTAGGATGCTGGTTTGTTGTCACCTGATGAGCCAAGAACATTGGCCAACAGCAAACTGGATGCTGTTGGTTCACAGTAAGCCAGAATAATGTTCCAGAATTCACTGCAGCCTCATCAGTGTGTTCAGTTTAATTCCCCAACAAGAAAGGTGGTACTGTGCCATACTGAGAATAAGTGGTGTTAGCAAGCATACATGGACGCCAGATTTAACCAATATAATTACAATGCCTACTTAATGTGTGCAGAGTGAAAGAGATAACACATGTGCCCTTCATAGTTTTTCCTGCCCTGCTCTTCTTTAGCTAATCGACCCACCCTCCACTCCTTGGTGTGAAGTCTGCTGAGTATTTCTCATGAGGCAGTTATTTTCAGCCAATGTGCAATGAACAACACCAGGCAGGCGACCTTTCACAAGATGGAGATGAGGGGGGTAACATGAACTGGAGGCTAAAATTAGACACACGCCCCCTCACAGTGTCACCCATGACACCATACACCCTGCCTTCTGAAACTGGTTGAGAGGAGATGGTGACACGTGGATGGAGTGAGGCCTAGTGAATGGAAGAAGAGGGAGAGATGCCTAGAAGGCAGAGGGAGAATTATTATTGCTGCACAGCCAGTCAGGCCATATGCATCAATAGGAATTAAAACTGCTCTTAAAAGATGACAGCATCTAACATATCAATCTGTGTAAGCAATCCGAGAGGCATAAAATAATAAAATAATCTTTCTCAAGTACTAACAATGAGTAAGATTAGCTTATAAATATTGTGAAACAGGCAGTGAATTTTGTCTTTCCATAGCTGGTTTTAAATGAGCTTGGTGATCCTATGGGATATTTATTTATTTATTTATTTATTGACTGACTGACTGACTGACTGACTGACTTATTTATAATTACACTTTTATCCTGGCCAACTAGTGGGCAACTACCAGAACAAGATCAAAATAACGTAATATAATAATGGAAACACCAGTAGAAATATTGATAAGGCATCATACATAGCATGATCCCTAAAAATGCAGTAACTTCAAGTAATAATAATAAAATTACAAGAATAACAGGTGGCTGGCAGACAGTTTGTGCCAGCTAGGAGAAACAAAACTACACATAAAGGGGAGTTGTTGATCCCAGCTGTTAATTGTTTTAAGTTAATGATCCCTCAAATCCACATACAGAGGACATTTCAAAGATATGAAAGTAATGGGCAGTGTGTGTGTATTGGAATGGTGGAAGAAAATAAAATACAGTTCCAGCTCTGATCATGTATTTATTCATCTAAAGCACAAGATCTTCAATCTGGGATACTTTTGTATTGAGAATAATGTTTATGTATTCCTAATTTGAATATTGGAATGTAAAATCCATATTCATGTGGTTGTATTTTCCTTTTGACAGAGAAACTCTGGACTATATAAACAAAGACTTTCTACCTAGCTGTTGAATAATCTGCTGCATATATTCCTCCCCCCTGCCCCATCTAGGTTTATTTTGGCCGCTGGTTGATTGAGGGGGGACCCTACGTGATTCTCATTGATATTGGGGCAACAGCTTGGAGTTTGGATCGATGGAAAACCGAGCTTTGGGAAAGCTGCTCCATAGGGATTCCCTGGTATGACCGAGAAGCCAACGATGCAGTTCTCTTTGGCTTCCTAACAGCCTGGTTTCTGGGAGAGGTAAGGAAGTGTTTTCTTTAAATTTATTTATTTAAATATATTAATTAACTGTCTTTCAGAACCACAGTTTGAGTGAGTCTTCCCCATGTAGCTTGCGACCCAAAAAATTGAGTATCAGATTATAACGACACCGTACATTTATTACAATTTGAAAATAAATCTTTTTTTAAATTAACTATCCCATGGCAGGATGTACCATAACCTTTTCAGATGAGAGCCAGAATGGACATTTGTTTTAAAACGTGCTAAATAATAATCATGTGCGGTCAAGTCAAGTCTGACTTCCAGCAACCCTTTTTCGCTTTTCCCAGTAGAGAATACTCAGAAGTGGTTTACCATTTCCTTCTTCTGGGGGTATCCTGGGGCTCTATAACTTGCCCAAGCCCACAGAGGCTAGCTGTACTCACAGTCGGCATTGTGGGGAATTGAACTCCCAACTTCTGGCTCTGCAGCCAGATTCCTAAGCTGCTGAGCTATCCAGCCGGCTAAAAAGCACCTACAAATGGATCCTAGCTAAATAGCTCTTAGGAAAGAACTGCAGAGTAAAGAGGCTGACATTCATGAGGCTTTTTCTCATTTGCCTGACCACATTACTGGTGGACCAGTAAGAAAAGCCTTTGAAGATGGCCTTGAGAACTCTGGCCATCTCAAATAACGTCTGTCCATTCCCCCTGCTCCTTTCCACAAGTTCTGCCTACGCTCGACTTGTTCTTTCTCCACAGTTTGCTGCACAGTGCGAAGAGAAGCCGTTCATCATTGGTCATTTCCACGAATGGTTAGCTGGGGTTGGTCTTTTCCTTTGCCGGATCCGGAAGCTTCCGGTGGCTACCATCTTCACCACCCATGCGACCTTGCTTGGGCGCTATCTGTGTGCAGGCAGTGTGGACTTCTATAACAATCTTCAGAAGGTGAGACTTTTATTAGTGCAGGAGTTGATATGGATGGAGTGGAGAGGTCAGGGAAGTGAAGGGGCAGAGAGAGAAGTTGAAAGCTGTCTTCTTCTTGGTCTTGTGGAGAATCTGGTGCAGCTCTTGAGTTGCCTGGGAAGAAAAACGTGTTTTTAGTTATTTTAGTTACGTTGACATTCTGCATTGACATTAGGGAGCTCAAGATGATAGGCATGGTGGCTTCCCCACCTTATTCTCAGAAACAAGGGAGAGTGACTGGCAGCCCAAGGTGACCCAGTGAGATTTATGTATGAGCAGGGGACTTGAATATGGATTGACTGAATCCCAATCCAAACACTCTAACCATAACACTACGATGTGTCTTACTCTGTCTTGGAAAGCTCTAGTTCTTGCTTTTTGGTCACAAAATCTCACTCTCACCCCTAGAGATCCAATTGTCTCCACAGCATTTCTGAGCAACATTTTGGTGCAAGAATCGACATTACGGAATAAGATCCTCACATCATCTTCAAGGAGGCAAAACTCGAGGAAAGGGCACATATTCTGTGCTGGAAACTAAAATAGTTTTGGTGCAGGGTGAAAGTGTGATTCTGCACCCCCATCCCACCTAGGCATGATCACTGTGATTATGAATATTTTGGACAATTAGTTTGCTTCTGTGTCGCAGACACCCATTGGAATTTGTCTGTGAACAGTGTGAGTGACAATGATGCCTGGAAATCTCCTACTGGTAATGTTATCTGGTGGCAGTTATTTTCTATAACTGAAGACTTCTTCCTTCTGTCCCATGGCTTCTACAGCTTCCATACAGTGAAAAGGATTACTTGGAAAGCAGAAAAGCCACTTGACAGAAGTAAGATGTTTTTAATTCCTGAAAATCACATTCTGCGTGTGACATAATCAACCTTCTGCAGACATGAGTTACAGAACAGAATTTCAAACAGTAGAAGTTTGCTGAAGGTAGGGGTCTGGGCAGGAAGAGCAGCAATGAATGACTCCATTGTTAGTGAGGAAAGTATAAATAAAATTGTCATAAAGCAAGGTTGCTTTTTGAAGTGCAAGGTAATTCTCCTTAAGCGCCAGTCTATAGCCTATTTTATGGCGGTTGGATATAGCACTGGGAGATGTTGATGAACAATCTGATGAAGAACAAAAAATATTTGGAAGGGGATTTCCTAGGACACTGCAGCTATGCCCTGACAGTCCTTCATTCTGGTTTCCTATTTGCAAACCATGATATGCAAGTTTGCTCTTAAAACTGCATCGTTTCCGTTTCTTATTCCATTCCTGCCACATTCTGTTCCTTTGACTTTACAGCCAGGTTTTGTTTGACTTCAATGGTCCAATTTCCTTCCAGTTTAATCTAGATAAGGAGGCTGGTGATAGACAGATATACCACCGTTACTGTATGGAGCGTGCGGCTGTTCATTGCACACATGTTTTCACCACTGTCTCCCAAATTACAGCTGTGGAAGCGGAACACCTACTAAAACGGAAACCAGGTGACTTGCATGCAGTTGTTTGGGAGAGATGGAATCGTTCCATTCAGATCGTATAGAATCTGAAATCTAATGTAGAATTAAAGATTCCTCTCTCTGTTTTCAGTTTTATTTCTTCAAGTTCATTAATATCTTTATTCTGTAACATATGTATAATAATAATAATAATAATTTTGTAAAATTAAGACTCCTGAATTTGTTAATGACCAAAATCGTACTGTATAGTTCTACCTGATGAAGGCAAATAATGTAACTCTCAATGGCTTCGCAGTAATAGTTACCGAGTCTTTGCTTGGATTTTTCTGTGCATGCCGACCTGCAGGACTGAGAATGCACGTGAGGACTTCTTAATTAGCTTCAAGAAGCCGCTAGGAGGAACACTGTTCAGCTTCTGTTGATGTAACTCTGCAGTAGGATTTTGGCCAATGTACACTTCTTTTTTTCATTTTGATTTTTTTCTCTCAAGTCTCTAGTCTTTATGGGGGAAGGGGTCATGGGCTGGTGGATTGGAAGAGCATGTTTTTCATGTGAAAGGTACCAGTCTTAGTCACTGGCGTCTCCTGTTAAAAGGACATCAGATTCCAGAGATAGAGAAAAACCTCTCAGTGAGGCTCTGGACAACTGCTTCACAAGTGTGTGTTGTGTCGTTTCCCAGCTAGGTACTAAAAAAAAGCCACAGTAGAAAAAGATCTATTCTGCTGTCTGTTATTTTTAATGTTGCTGTGCACCTTTAGTCTTTGGGTTCATGCAAGGGGATTTAAATGAAGCTGCCAACTCATTGTAGAAGCACACTCAGTGTGTTTTCTTCTGTGTATTAAAGAACAGCTCAGACAACATTTGTTCCTGATGTATTGCATCAGTGGACTGGTTCCCTGTGATATTGTGAGTTCACTCCCCTTCCTCCATCAGGGTAATATTGCATCTCCCATTCAGATGACTGGCTCAGTATTTAGTTTGCTTAGTCAGGAGTCATCCAAGATGTGTGAAAGTAGTTGGGCCCAACTTTGATCCCTGGATTTTTTTGGTTATCTGTCTGTCCCTTCTGAAGGATGCACAGATTCACATTCTTAAAATAAATAAAACTCTGTGCTTCTTTCCTTCTCTCCTCCTTATTCCCCTGCAACTTATCCAGACATTGTGACTCCCAATGGTCTGAATGTCAAGAAATTCTCTGCCATGCATGAATTCCAGAACCTTCATGCCCAGAGTAAAGCACGTATCCAGGAATTCGTCCGGGGCCACTTCTACGGGTGAGTTATTGTGGGTTCTCTCTGAGGTCTTGCCTAGTGGGTGTTGTCTTGGTTAAAATGGCTGCCTATCTCAGAAAGTTGGGTCTTGAAGGAAAGGCAGAGGGTAGGGGCTAGTGAGAGAGGTGAGGTTTCCAGTAGAGACTGAACAAGAGAGGATGGGCGATGGGAAGACATTTTAAGACCCAGGAAACAAGAAAGAGCAACAAGTCACAAAAGATAGCTCTTTGAATAGCTAGTTGGAAGTCTCCTTGTTCAAGCACGAATATGCTTCCTGGGGGAACAATCAACTTTTAAACTTCATTATGTTGGTATTTTGTTTTGGTTCGGACTTGTCTTCCCAGTTATTACATTTCTGACAATGTCTTATATTTTTTTCTCTCTATTCTCCTCCTCCTCCTCATTTTGTCCCATTTCTCTTCTGTCTTGTTTTTCATTGCATTGTCAGCCTGCAGGCAGAACTCTTCTCTCTTGTCTTTTGCTCTTTTTTGTTTTAATGATTTGTAGGGCGCCTCATAAATCATGCATCTTGGCTGGGATTCAGAGCTTTGTGAAGACTTAGGATAAGGGTTTTGTTCCATGTTCATGGAATTGTTTGCCTTTTACTGAATGCAAAACCCATGCAAAATTTCAGACACTCCTCATTTTCAAAGCAGATTGTGCTGCATGGGGAGGGGCACACTATTTTTTTTCCTAAGAAGTAGGGCAAATATGGTGTGGTGGACTAGGAATCAGGCGACCTGGATTCAAATCCCTGCACAGCCATGAAAATGTACATTGGATTGACAATGACAGACCAACCTTTGAACATCTTGAAAAGTGTTTAAGGGTCTTTGTAAGTTGGAAGTGACTTGAGCACATGTAACAAGAAGTCACAGTGCACCTGTTGAGACCACAGAGTAAATACGCCTATGATTGTGTTGCATCTCTTGCCTTTCATTGTCCTTCGGATAGTATTCTGAGCAGCACCTGCATTTATTATGCACCAACAGTTCTTTAAAAGGATGTGTTTTTTTTTTAAATGTATCCTATCTTTCACTAAATTATTGCAAATGTATATACTACAAGCTTGATATATTTGTTGTTTTTTATCCTGCCTTTCCTCAAGATATCTTATATGGTTCTTCTTTCCAACCCCTCCCATTTGACCCTCACAAATAGCCCTGTGGGATAGTTTTTCCTGAGAATGACTGACCAGCCAGCGGTCACTTACATAGCTTTGTGCTTTAGCTGGGATTTGAATCTTGATCTGCTTCCACCTAGCCCATCACTGAGCACCTTGCCCTCTCTACATAACATCAAATTAAAACCACAAAAAGCAAAAGTAAAACATTACAATGATGTGTTTTAAAAGGAGCATACATGAGTAGTTAATAATTTAGTTTCTATTATCCTTGAAGTTTTAATCTTAACAGTCACTTGCAAGGAAAAATATGCATAACATAGAATTGGATAAAGTTTCATTTTGTGCCCTTCTGTGTATTCACTCTAAGTCTCGTCCTCTTATTCTCCTAGGCACCTGGACTTCAACCTTGATAAGACCATTTTCTTCTTCATTGCCGGACGCTATGAATATAACAACAAAGGGGCTGATATTTTTTTGGAAGCCCTGGCCCGTCTCAACTACTTGCTCAGGGTAAGTACTAGAAGGGATGTAAAGAAGCAGAAGAAGAGGAAGAAAAGGGAGGTGAACATTTTGTTGTGGTTGTGTCTTGGAGAGCGTGGCTTGTGGAATTGTTAGTTCCAAATCCTAATGTCAATTTCTAGTCTTTGGCCTTCCATAGTATCAGAAATGGGAGCACCCCAAACAGTTATGACCTCCAGCAAGCCTTATTTGGATAAAATTATTCATTTATTTATTAGTTCAAAGGTATATTGTGGCTTTCATTCAATGAGGTCAAGGAAGCATACATGGCTTTCCATTTCTCCACTTCATTCTCACAACAACCCTGTTGTTGTATTAGCCTTGTTGCAGCGAGAAGAGAATCCAGTGGCACTTTTGAAAATTAGCAAGTATAATTAAAGTGTAAGTTTGAAGCTAGTTGTATCTTCATGCTTTAAAGTAAGTTATAGTTTTTACTGCGCCAAGGCTAACACAACAGCTATCTCTTTGGAAATGTCAATACTGTGGAGACAGGCGGTAATGGCAATCGTGCAGCTAGAATTCCTTGGCTGAAAGGAAGAGCAGCAAGCTGTGGCTGATTCCTCAGCCTTCTCTGGCTTTTCTCTGTGCAGGTGAACGGCAGCCAGACAACAGTGGTGGCATTCTTCATCATGCCTGCCCGAACCAACAACTTCAATGTGGAAACTCTGAAAGGCCAGGCTGTCCGCAAGCAGCTGTGGTGAGTTGCCCACACACAGACTCTGAGTGCCCCAGATAAATCCTCTACATAAGGTTGCCTGAGGTAATCAGGAGTTGCAACATGTACAACATCCTCTACTCAAAAATTCACTTGACCTTGCCCACTTTATAGTCGGGACAGAGAACCTTTAGCCCTGCAGCTATTTTGAATACAGCTCACAGTCCCATACCGTCAGCCATGTAGAGTGTTATTCACAAGAATTACAGTGGTGCCTCACTTAATGACGTTAATTCGTTCCAGCAAAATCGCTGTAGAGCAAAAATGTTGTAAAGCGAAAATAAACCCATTGAAACGCATTAAAATCCGGTTCCGATGGGCTGAAAACTCACCATCCAGTGAAGATCCTCCATACGGCGGCCATTTTCGGTTTGTGCAGCGAGGGATCCGTCCCTAAGCAAAGCAGTGAGTCATTTTGAGCACCTGGCGGCCATTTTGAAAACCCGACAATCAGCTGTTTTGATCGTCGTAATGCGAAGAATTGGTTCCCGAAGCAGGGAACCGATCTTCGCAAAGTGAAAAAATCCATTAAAAACATCGTTTTGTGATTGCAGTTACATCATCGTAAAGCGGATTCATTGTAATGCGGGGTAATCGTTAAGCGAGGCACGACTGTATAGCTGAAACACCTGGAAAGCCAAAGTTTCACCATTTCCTTGAAGCCTTGAAACTTAAGCACACCCTTTTTTCTGTCAGTCTGGTCCCCTGTGCTTTACCAAGCCCTCTAAGGAGACAAATCCCAAAATCCTGGCGCTGTGTCTTAGATTTGCCAAGTCATCTTAATTCTAGATTTGATAGCCTCCAAGACCCCTGCCTATTGTTCTAACCTCTTGTCATTCTCTCCCACTTTCCCAATGTAGGGATACAGCTAATGCTGTGAAAGAGAAGTTTGGCAAGAAACTTTATGAATCACTCCTTGTGTAAGTGGTCTCCTTTGAGAAGGCGAAAGGGTGATGCAAGTGCTGGGTAACTGGGAGTGGGGCTGCTAGCTCACCATGGCAACAAAGGAAAAGCCTTTTGGGATTCAATCCACCATGTCCTTTGGTGTCTGCATTTGAGGAACCTTGATTCTGACATAGATACTTAAATTGTGACCTTTTGGGAAGAAGAAGAAGAAGGTCTCATGAACTGTCTATATACTCCATTAAGCTCTGCCTATCTTTTTTTTACCTCAGAGGGAATCTTCCTGATATGAACAAAATGCTCGACAAGGAAGATTTCACTATGATGAAGAGAGCCATCTTTGCCACCCAGGTATCAGAGCATAATTTGAAAGGAATGAGACCTACGGGGGAGGAAGTTTAGGTCCTTATGGAGTCGATTTAGGGTGGAGAACTCTTGGACAGATGAAGGTGAAAAGACCCAGAGCAGAGGATTCTGGGAGTCATAAAGGTTTTTAGAAGTCCAGATATTTTCAAGTTAAATCAGTTGTGTTGGAACTAAGAGCAGACGAGGTTTTTGGAACAATGCCCCTCAGTTCTTTAAGAAAGAAAGCGGGATGCCTGGCTTCTCTACAACTTAGTTCTTACCAAAGTGATAATTTTCCGGTTTGATCTCTACAGAAAGTAGGTTGGGAAGCTCACAGAATTGATTGCTCATCCTCCATGAGAAATCCAGGAATTGGAAAGAAGGATTGAATTCTAGTTTTCTATGTACAAGGTTGTAGGATTTTATTCTGGGTTTTTTGTTCGTTTGTTTCTTTTTTGTCTTGTTTTGTATGGAAGACCATTCAGTCCTGTGAACTTTCACCTGCCGTCTTGTTCATTCGACAGCCTCGGCTCAGATTTACACTCTCTTCAACTTTAGGTAGACCTGAGAGAGGAATAAACCTGAATGCTCCAAATTAGGATTAAGGTCCTAGATGCCTGTGGGGAGGAAAGGCGGAGATATTTCCTTCTACCTGGGCCTCCTAGGTGAAAGAAAATGAGGGCGAAAAGTTAAGATTCCAAGGGGTTTGTTTTGTACAGGCCAAATTCTGGGCTCGACAGTATCATCCGTTTACTCAAATTCTGTTAGCTTATTGTTCAGCCTGATTTTCAAATAAAGAGGGAGTAGAGAGAAAGCAGGCAAAGCCTTCCGTGTCTTAGGCTTTCCTCAATAATGGCTATTCACCTCTGTCTGTGTTCCTTCTCCAACCAGCGCCAGTCATTTCCCCCCGTCTGCACTCACAACATGCTGGATGACTCTACTGACCCTATTCTCAACAGCATCCGTCGCATTGGCCTCTTTAACAGCAGCGCAGACCGTGTCAAGGTGAGTGGCAGGAGGCTGGCTGCTGCTGCAACAGGATAGCGGTGAAAATGCCAGGGAAGGTTACAAACAGGTCTTAAAGACCTGCTAGAAATTAGGATGCTTGCACTTTGTAACTTTGTTTTTTAAAAAAAATCCCATGAAAGCTAAACGACATCCTGGCAAGGGATGTAGTAAGGATTCAGGGTGGGTGGTGGTGGAGTGCACTTGTAGGGGATGTCAGCTGATCCAGTCCCCTGGAATTTGTCTTCCTGCCAGAGGATTGCTATATGAGATCTCCTGCAGCATTTTAATGGGAACATACAGTACGTACACTACAGAATGATAGCAACTGGATACCACTTTTGTGCCATCCTGAGGAATCCTGGGGCTTGTAGTTTGCTGAGGCACGTTGAATTGTCTGCAGTTCTATAAAGGAACAGCACTAGAAAACTCTAGCAGAAAATTCTGAATACTTTGCCAGACTATGAATCCCAAGATTCTTTGGGATGGAGCCGTGACATTTAATATTTTATCTATTGACTGTTCTAACCATGTGACACTAGAAACATCATATGCTGTTTTTTAACCACACGTTCTGCTATAGAAAAACTTGTGTTGGATAAGTTTCCGGGGGAAATTCCATCGCGCCTCCCCTCCCCAGTCCCCCCCTCCGCAGAAGTAATAGTATCTGTTTCCCCTCAATGGAAGTGACCTAATCACAAACGGAATGCATCACTCTTGCTTTACTGTTTCGTGAAGTGTTGAAAATTAGCATTCAGCAAATTCTTTCTTTGTCCCAATCTGCTAATATATTGGCTGCAACCGAAACAAACCATGCCCCAGTGGCAAAAATCCAAATAGGTTTCATGAAACTTTATTTTCTTTTGTCGTAGCTATTTCTTTTTTCTATTTTAAGTAACCCTACAGGGAGCAAGTGGTTATAATTTCAGAAAATTGTTACAACTAGCGTGAAAATACGTATTTCTGGATCCCCACCCCTTTTACCATGCTATGTATGGCATTTGCTATTAACTGTGTTAGCGTGAAAATACGTATTTCTGGATCCCCCCCCCTTTTACCATGCTATGTATGGCGTTTGCTATTAACTGTGGTTTTCAGCATCCGTGGGAGGACTTGGGACCAATCCCCTGTGGATACAGGGGTGTGTGTGTATGTGTGTTTCCTAATGTATCTCTCTCTCTGAAATGGAGCTGAAGAACTCATAGCCCCCCCTGCCAGATATTGTGCGACTCCAGTTCCCATCCATCCTAGTCAGTCTGGCCACTAACAAGTGATTGTGGGAGTATTTGATCCACATGGGGAGAGCAAAGGTTTTCCCAAAGAGGGGTTCTGTGTCTCAGGACAGGCTGCAAGCAGTGAATTCAGTCGCCACTGTTTTTCTTTCTCTCTTCCCAAGGTTATCTTCCATCCAGAATTCCTGTCTTCCACGAGCCCCCTACTTCCGGTGGATTATGAGGAATTTGTGAGAGGCTGCCATTTGGGCGTGTTCCCTTCGTATTATGAGCCCTGGGGCTACACACCAGGTAGGGGTTCCTTGGAGTGAGGGGTATAGGTGGGAAGGGAAGGCTTCACCCTCCCTACCAGAAAGAAATCACAATGGTGTAACTGGTGTGACTTGTGTTTTGTGTTCAAAAACTGCTAAGGCAAATTAATATCAAATACTTTCCCTTGTCACCAATTTCACAGCTACGCTAGTTTGTGTGCCTTGCTCTGAACAAGATGCTGATCTTTGGCATAATATGGAGATATAATAGCAAGAACCAGGCTGACAGGAGGAGAAGAGGGATGTGGATAATTAAAAGGAGAGTAGGGAGTGAAAATGGCTTTCTCATAACTTAAAGCAAGGGAATACATAATTTTGGCATTTGCTCTTACCCTTCTGTCATGGTGAAATACCCCTCAGCCATGCCTCCATCCATGACACTCCATTCTACTATCAGCATATAATACTTAGTGAGCACCCAAGACCACTTTTCTCTCACTGGAGGCTCCAGGTTCTTTTGACTGACAGATGGAGAGAGAGATTTCAGCCATACTTGGGAGATTCCCACAAGCATGAGGAGGCCTCCTCCTTGTGCATTGATGCTCCTGTTTTGACTACATAATGGAAGGGATGACAAAGTAAATCAGAAGTCATGATTTTATCCATTTTAAGCTTTCTTTTTTACTTTGCTAACATATACACTGGTGCCTTGCATAACAAACGCACCGTTTAACGATGAATCCGCATAGCGATCCATTTTTTGGGATCGTTAATGTGATCGCATTGGGATGTTTTAAGTGCCAAAACATCGCATTGCGATGATCGGTAAGCGTTTCGCTTACCGATCTTCACATTGCGATTTTTTAAAACAGCTGACTGGTGGTTCCAAAATGGCCGCCGGGTGCATAAAATGGCAGCCTGCAGTGTTTTCGCGCCTTGCCCTCGCTTACCGAGGGCGCGAAAATGGTGGCCGGAGGGGGAATCTTCGCTCAACAGTGAGTTCCCCCCGGAGTTTAACACGTTCCTATGGGGTTTTCCATTTCGTTTTACGATGTTTCCGGATAGCGACTATTAATCCAGAATGGATTAATTTTGCTATGCGGGGCACCACTGTACTGAACTGAGAAAATAGGACAGAGAAGTATGTGAAAATAGGGAAGGTCCGCCTTTCTTCTGCATGTCTGAAACCAGATCCTGCAGATCATTCTGAAAAGATGATCCCATTAAGATTTGCTGTTCGTGTCTTCAGGGAGGGAAGCCCACCTGCACTGAAGCACTGGGTGGATGATCTAGATTCGTAAGTGCAGACCTCAAGGTCTAGACATCTACATTCTCTGATCAGGTCTTGGTTTCCTTCTCCAGCTGAATGCACCGTCATGGGCATCCCCAGCGTCTCCACCAACCTCTCGGGCTTTGGATGCTTCATGGAAGAACACATCGCCGACCCATCTGCTTACGGTTGGTCTTAGGAGCTGGAGTTTTCTGGTACCTCTGAAGAGGGAGGATGGTACCAATTCCTGTTGGGCCAAATCTATGATAGAGGCGAAACCATGGCCCGAACCCATAACAAAGACAAACATCAAGAAGTCTGCCAATAGAGGTTCTTCTTACTGTCTGAGTGGTTACCCGCTATTTCTTGCAAATTGCCTAGTATATCGTAGTATAACAAAGGATGCTAGGATTTGGGATTTTTGGCCTGTCAGGATAATGTGTATCTTGAGGCCCATGATTCACACATAATTGGGATGCCCAACAGTCTAAGGATGGTGACCCCCTAGATGCTGCTATACTGTGCAGAAACGACTGCTGGACCAGTAAGGCAGAGCGCCATAGAGGCAGGTGGAGAATGCAGCTTCCCTCACCCACCTTGTGCTCAACCTTTCTCTACATCCATGCCAAAGAGAAGAGCCTCACGGCGCAGTGGTTAAACCGCTGTACTGCAGCCAAAACTGTGCTCACGACCTGGGGTTCAATACCAGGTAGCCGGCTCAAGGTTGACTCAGCCGTCTATCCTTCCGAGGTCAGTAAAATGAGTACCCAACTCGCTGGGGGGGAGAGAGCAATGTGTAGCCTGCATAATTAACTTGTAAACCGCCCAGAGAGTGCTTGAAGCACTATGGGGCGGTATATAAACAGCATGCTTTTGCATTCACTTGGAAACAGAAAGTTAGTGGGAAACAACATCCAGATCCCTGCTTCACTTTGGCCAGTGTTTAATGGTTGATTATGGATCAAAGCCGAGGTGGGCAAAATGGGCCACCTCTGATGATGTTGAAACTCCATTTCCCGGCATTCCTCACCATTGGCTATGACGGGAAAGGCGGATGGGAGTTGCAGTTAAACAACATGGGAGATGCAGTTCCACAACATGTGCCCACTCATGGATTAAAGCCACATGGATGCTTTAAGAATCTTTCTGCTTCCACCAGGGATCTACATCCTTGACCGACGTTTCCGGGGCTTAGATGAATCGTGCACCCAGCTGACCTCTTTCCTGTACAGCTTCTGCCAGCAGACGCGACGGCAGCGCATCATCCAGCGGAACCGCACGGAGCGGCTTTCTGACCTCTTGGATTGGAAATACCTGGGGCGGGTGAGCCTCCATATCCCATATCACCTGCTCTGGGCATTGCATCAGCTTCTCGTCCTCCATGGATTGTCATTTACCTACTTGCCCCTAGGGGGAGCCCAGCATAAAGGTCAACTTCATGTTTTCTCCCTTAAAACTGCCAGGGCAGTTCCAGGGCAAAGAGTTCCCCATTTGGGGTATTACTCCACAGAACATCCTGTTTCTCATTCTTTTCAGCTGAATCTGCACCCCATACAGGACACAAAGATGGGACTCTCCAACATATCTTGAGTCCTCGACAGGCTGATCTGGAGCTGCCAGAGCAGCTTCATGGTGGAGCTGGATCTGTGAAATTAGTGTGGACGTGTGCATGAATGTACATGGGTGTAGATACATGTACTGTCTGGTTCATAGAAAGGCTGGCCAGCACCCTGTTGCAGTTCACATAAAGTTGCCAAGGCTAGTTGCCATGGTGCATCTGAGTCAAGCATGTGATCAGGCCCATAACGCAGATATATCACAGCACCTCATCAATTAGGTACTATTAGCCACAGCAAGTTCCACTAATCTTGCACAGACACCAGTAAGATTCTGCTTGCTGTTTGGTTTCAATGGAAAGACAAATTACAAGTGAATGTAAAAAGAGATATCTTCTCTAATGCTCTCTTTTATTTTCCTTTTGCAGTATTATATGTATGCTCGGCATATGGCACTCGCTAAGGCATTCCCTGACAATTTCACCTATGAGCCACATGAACCCACAGCTGTGAGTATCGCTGTATGAGAGAGGAGGGAGAATGTAAGCTTTGATATATGGAGGAATTCTTGGCCCTAAAGTCAAGGTCTGCAATAGAGCATGGGATTTGTGTGTGCAAGGCCACCATCTAGAACTAGAAAGATCACAGGCTGGGATTTTTATTTATTTCCTTAAATGGGCTTTTAATGAATGCTAGAAGGCAGTGCCCCTGCCTTGTGGGGTTGTTTATTATTATTATTTTTACACCACCCATCTGGCTACCCAGGCCACTCTGAGCAGTTTACAAATACAAATTATAAAACAACAATACAAGAATTAACAATTAACAACTTAAAGTGCAACAGTAGCGAAAATAAAATAATTAAAATAATAAAGAAGGGTTGAACGTATTGTTATTAAAAGCACCATTGTATTAAGATGTTCTAGAGTCTGGGAAGGCCTGTCTAAACAGCCATGTTCTTAGTAATCTTTTGAAAGTTCCCAGGGAAGGGGCCAGGCAAATTTTAGGTGGGAGAATATTCCAGAGTTGCGGGGCGACCTCCGAGAAGGCCCAATTTCTGGTCGTCATTTTCCAGGCCTCTCTCAGGGTCAAAACTCAACCACCCGGCCTGAGAAGATCTTACAGGACGGGCAGATCTAGTCAGAAGAAGGCTTTCTTCCAGATATTGAAGTCCTAAACTGTTTAGGGCCTTATAGGTTAACACCATCACCTCAAAGCTGGCACGGAAAGAGACAGGTAACCAGTGCAGGGCAGCCAGAGTGGGGGAAATACATTGATGTATCCTTACTCCACTCAGTAATCTAGCAGCTAAGTTCTGAACCTGCTGAAGTCTCCATAGCAGTCCCAAGGGCAGCCCCATGTAGAGAGCATTACAGTAGTCTAATCTCGAGATTTCCAGTGCATGAACCAGTGTGGTGAGGGGGCCCGTGTCAAAGTAGGGACGCAACTGGGCAATCCGCCTTAGATGGAAATAGGCGGAATGGACCACAGACATTACCTCTGATGCCATTGACAGCACCAGGTCCAAAAGTACACCCAAGCTACACACATCATCCTTTGTGGAAAGAGTGTCCCCCCCAAAAAAAGAGAGGGAAGCTCCCAGACCACAGACACTGGGGGCACACACCCGCAGGATTTCCATCTTGTCCAGGTTTAGCCTCCGTCAATTATCCCTCATCCACCCCAGGCATTTGCACTGTGGACTTAGCAGAGAGGAAAGGAAAGGAAAGCAGGCCAAAGGAAATGGGGGAAAGATGTCTATCTTAAGTACTAGTCCTAAACTCAAAACATTTACAATGGTGCCTCGCTTAACGAGCGCACTGTATAACGATGAATTCGCATAGCGATCCGTTTTTTTGGATCGCTAGTGCGAAGGCATACCGACGGTTCCAATGGGCAAAACTCGCATTGTGAAGATCGGTAAGCGTTTCGCTTACCGATCTTCGCATTGCAATGTCGGGGAATCAGCTCTTCGGCGGTTCCAAAATGGCCACCAGAACACCCAAAATGGCCACGCGCAGTGTTTTCGCGCCCTGCCCTCGCTTATCGAGGACGCGAAAATGCCTGCGCTATGGAGGAACATCGCATAACGGTGAGTTTTGGGCCCATTTGTTTAATGCGTTCCAATGGGCTTTTTTGTTCCGTATAGCGATGTTTCCCCATAGCGACGGTTAATCCGGAATGGATTAACCTCGCTGTGCGGGGCACCACTGTATTTGTATGAATATATAAAAAGGGCAACATAACATTCATTTTTATTCAGGCAAATGTTTTGCGGCACCGGGGAGGTACAGTTTCCCCACTGCCTTATGTTTTCCAGTTTGATCATTATTTCCAACAAGTTTTCCCCCAAGCACTAATACTTGCCCTCAGGCAAAAATATTTTTTTTTAAAAACTCAAAATGTTCTAATCAGTCTAACAGTATTTCCTTGAGAATCCATATTGCTAATAATCTTCCTTCTTGTTGGAATAATAAAGCATCAGCAACTCTCTGTCCCTCTTTATTATGCTAGGCTTGCTGCTGTGAACCATATTTGTTGTCGTTGTTTCTCTGGCAGGCTCAGGGCTTCCGCTATCCTCGCCCGGCCTCCGTGCCGCCATCTCCCTCCATTTCCCGCCACTCCAGCCCCCACCACAGCGAAACGGAAGAGGACGACGAGCGATACGATGAGGATGAGGAAGCTGAGAAGGACAGGCAGAACATCAAGCCTCCCAACATGATGGGCCCGGTGCCTGAGTGGCGCAAGCGCTCCAAGAAGGGCTCGAGCGAGGCCAGCGTCTCCTCCAACGCAAGCACCTCTTCCATTCCCAGCAGCCCCAGTGATGCCAGCAGCCCCACCAACTCGATCATTGAGGAGAGAAATTAACCCCCCTATCCAACCGTGGGGCCCGACTCACTCACCTGCTCTTTTCCCTGCGCCTCTCACTCCACGCCCTCCGTAGGTCAGCCGGTCTCTGGTGCTGGATTTCTGAAGCAGTCCCAGAGTTGTAGGTTCTAACATGCTCCAGAACTGAGGTTCTAGAATATTCCAGTATTGAGAAGGGGCTCTGGGTGGTGGTCTTTCTGATGCTGAGCTGTTAAACGGTTTGTTGCAGTTCAGGTTGTGGAAAATGGACTTGAAAGGAGGTGCCCTCCCATGGCTCTGAAGGGTGCCCCCTCTTTGCTTGTTCTCGAACACGAGGCGCATGCTTGTGTTCAACTTGACCTGGGAAGGGAAGGGGCCTTCCCTGCTCTACCCAACCCCAGTCAGAGTTCGCCTTGAGTGCCATGGACTGGCAACATCTTTGGAAGGAGGTGTCTAGATATATGTGAGAAATCAGTGTGAGGCAAGGAAATCCATAGGCTTTGCTAGGGGTTACCCAGAGATTGATCCTAAGGATTCTCAGCACTCGTGACTTAAACCTACAGCTGGCTAGGTCTGTGCTCTACAGATTTCACAGTGCTGTCCTGCTCGGTGTCTCTGTCTTGGAAATGCCACCACTTTTAAAAAGAATTTGACAGGTTTTTGTAACACAAGCAGAGGTTCTTGATCCTTTTTTTAAAAAATAATAATAATATGCATTGTTACCATGAGGGCCATGTGAGGTCACATAAACAGCACAGTTGTAGAATGCTTGGGAGTTCAAGAAAGACCCTGTGCGTGAGGAAGCACAGTGGCATTTTTAAAAAGCCTCGAGTCTGCTCTGTTCTGGATGGTTCATGAGAAGATGAATGAACGCATCTAGAAGAAAGTTGCATTCTAAGGCTGGTGAACTTTTTTAAAAAATGAATTAAGAATTGAAAAAGCAGGGGTTTTCCTGCAGGGATTTTCCTTATATGTTATTTTGAAATTTGCAGTTGAAGAACAATCTTAAGATGCAGTCTGTTTATTCCTGAATGCATCCAGCTGGGAGTTTTAAAGGTGGTTCTTGGTAGCCATGGTTGACCTTCCAAGGGGATGTAGTTTAAACAAGGGTTAGCGTGAAGCTCTTAACAGCATGAATGGTCTAGGTTTGGTATAGTAATTTAGGATTTGGACAAAAGCGTTTGCCTCTAAAAGCAGCCAAGGGCCCCAGAGTGTGTTGCAGGGGCATTTAAGAATGCAAGAAAATCTAGAAATGTCCTGCAGTGTAGACCACTTAAGTGGCTCCAGAAAAAGGAGAAGCAATCAGAGGTTTCTCTTTTTTTATATATTAAAACTGTGGCTTTTTCCTGGAGCTTTTATTTATACCCCAGCAACTATGTTTATACTAGTGGACAATCAAGAGTATTTTGGAGCAATTCTAAGTGCAATGTTACCCATTTTTAAAGTGCTGTGTTGAGTTTAATGAGGGAAAAGCACAAGGCAGTTGAGCCCACTTTGCCATTGTCTTAAATGTTTATCTTTAGGAAACCCATTCTTGACATTTTAGAATGTATAGGATACCTGGGATATCTCTGTGACTCCTCTGGGAAGAAGGCAAGCTAGTCTGGATCATGAGTGCTTCAAGGGAACATTCAGGAAAACCACACACTAGAAGGTATAAGTACCTGTAATGCAGTTTCTGTGACAATGCTGGCCTCTCAAACTTGTGAGGCTCTGAAGACAAACATATCAGGGAAAGCCTCTAAACAGGTGAGCTTCTTTCACAGCTAGAGGAGTTGTGTGATTCCAACCCCGCCTCCCAGCAATTTATCCTTAAAACAAGGCACATGGAAAGTGTGTGCTTTGTTCTTAAGTGAATTACGCCTGTGGGAGCACAGTTTACCTTTTTTAAAGGTGCGTGCTCTTGCTGCACCTTGTTTTAAAGATGAATTGCTGGGTTTGTTGGTTTGGTGGGGTTTTTCCCCCATTTTTACCATCATGGTACTGAAACTTATCGGTGCAGTGGCAGATGAAGCACTTGGGCCTACGAAAAACATCAGCCAAGGTGCCTGTTGCCCTAGCTGTTTTTGTTAGAAGGATTATGTATGCTGTTGAAGTCCCCGAAGGGAAGGGTCCCTTACGGCTGTCGTCTTGTGCGTCTCAGAACACCAACCAGAGCGGCTGAGATCAACCAAGGCCATAATATTTCAGAACTTCTTGCCAGCTCAGTGCGAAGTTGGGTGCCTGTGATGATGGCGACGCAGAGAAGAGTACAGCCAAAGCCGATTCTCCTGTGCAACAAACCAGAGAGCGTGCTGTTGACAGTTTTAAGACCGAATAGTAGTTGGTATGTGGATATTCCTTCTGGGACAAGAGAGGGAGACACCTCGAGAGCGGAGCAAAGGACACGCACAGGACCCCCCCCCCCTTTGTTTTTCCACCTGCTGCCAACTGTGGTTATTATGAACAATCAAGGAAACCCGTTTTTTTTTTTTAAAAAAAGGACTGTTTTGCTGTGGCCTATATTTAGTGTGATTCCCTTCCGCTTCTCCCTGCTGTTTGAAACATGACCCACATTTCCATGTCATCCTCCCCTATCCCTCTTCCCCCCCCCCCATAAGCTGTGAGTGAATCAATCCTCTTGGTTTCAGTTGAATCCACCCTCTTGCCCATCTCTAGATTTTAATTTATGGCTGTTCACAGATGCTTGAGGTTTCTGGTGTGTCTCTTTCCCCGACCCTTTTGTGTGGAAGAACAAAACACACACACACAACCTACGAAGAACAAAAAGCTGTGTGAGACAAAACTTGTTGATTATTTAAGAATAAAGTTTGCTTTAAAAATAGTTCGTGACAGTGGCTGTGTCATCGAAAACACTAGGGGGTCTTTTGTACTGGGCTTCTCATCAACCCCATTTCGTAAGAAATGGTCAAGGATGAGAAGAATTGTAAACCAGCAGCAACATCTTCTTTAAGAGGGCAAAAGAAGTGAGAGCCAGTGTCGTGCAGGGAGTTGAATGTCAAACTACGACAAAGGAGACCTGGGTCGAATTCCTTGCTTCGCCATGCACAATCTGGGGGAGGGGGGGTATGAATGCCAACAGCAAGACCACTTTTTCAGTATCTCACACATCTTGAAAACTCTATTGCTGTTATGTGCCATTAAGTTGGAACCGACTTAGTCACCCTTTCAAGGTTAGTGAGATATTTAAAGAGTGGTTTTTTTGCCACTTCCACTCCCCCAGTGAGTTTCCATGGCTGAGAGGAACTTAAGCCTCCTGAGTCCACATCCATCTCTTTACCGACTACACCAGTGGTTCTTAACCTTGGGTTACTCAGGTGTTTTGGAACTGCAATTCCCAGAAACCCCAGCCAGCACAGCTGGTGGTGAAGGCTTCTGGGAGTTGCAGTCCAAAAACACCTGAGTAACCCAAGGTTAAGAACCACTGCACTACACCACACTAGGGTAAAGGTAAAGGTTCCCCTTAACATTTAGTCCAGTTGTGTCCAACTCTAGGGTGCGGTGCTCATCCCGTTTCCAAGCCATAGAGCCAGCATTTGTCCTTAAAGACAGTTTCTGTGGTCACATGGCCAGCATAACTAGACACAGAACGCTGTTACCTTCCCACCGTGGTGGTACCTATTTATCTACTTGCATTTTTGTTTTCAAACTGCTAGGTTGGCAGGAGCTGGGATAAGCGACGGGAGTTCACTCAGTCGCGTGGATTTGATCTTGCGACTGCTGGTCTTCCAGCCTTGCAGCACAGAGGTTTAACCCACTATCCATTAATTCAAAAGCAGCTTGATGACATAAAATATCAAGAAAAGTGATACGCCTTTAATTTGCAGCCAGGAGTACTGAAGTGCTGACGTGTCATTTCCAGGACTCTAGAGAGGAACCTGGCTCTCGGCTTAAAAGAATGGTCGCAGGCAATAGCCACTATCTTAGCAGAGCTGGGTGAGATGAGCTGACTTTGCAGAAGACAGCTGCCTCTCTTCATAAAGGGTGAGGCATTTGCAATAGGGCCATCACATGGATATGCACACTGGTGACGTCTCTGCCTCCAAGGACCTTTCCCACCTTAATATCCAGCCAGTGCCTGCTTCTGTCCAGTCTGGTATATTTGACAAAATTAATTTTATGTTTTTTCTGTACCAATTTTTATGTTCTCAATCTACCGTTTTCAGTACATTGCACAAAAAAACATAACATTGCAAGACTTTAAAGATTTAGATTTTCTTTGGCATTAACTTTTCCAGATTGCAGCCCGCTTCTTCAGTTTGGCTGGTCTGGAGGTTTATGCCAAATAAAACATCTCGGTCTTCTTAAGTGTGTTGGCACTCCTGTTGCATTCTGCAACACTGGTGACAAAAGTATTTTTTTTTCTTCCCTCAAGCTAGATGTGGACTGAGAAGCAGGATAAGAAACATGTGTTACTCTTAACTGCCTGAGCCAGTGTGGTGTAATGCAGTGGTTCCCATCCTGGAGCATCCAGATGTTCTTGGGCTTCAACTCCCAGAAATCCTGGTCAGCAGAGGTGGTGAAGGCTTCTGGGAGTTGTAGTCCAAGAACATCTGGAGCCCCAAGGTTTGGGACCACTGGTCTGTAATGGATTAGGACTCCAAAAGACTTGGGTTTGAATCTTCCCCTCAGCCACAGAAACTCATCTCAGATGCAACTTGATTGAACATAAGTACGCTTGTCTCTGCAATCATATTGAGAAAGCAAAAGTAACAGCATATCACCCTCGGTCTAGATGCAGAAAGGAAAGTGACTTTTTGCATGCCAGTAAATGGTAACCCAGGCTAGCACAATGGCAGTAAAGTGCCCAGCATGTTGGGCCAAGGAGAGTAGAATTGGTGACATCGAGCACCTGAAGAGGCACAGATTCTGTCCTTGGGCTACGGCACTAACTATATTTTTGTTAGAGATCTAGGTCCCTAGGCTTAAAATTTAAGAGATCAATTTATTCTTGGAAGCACAGTTTTTTCTCTTGACAAGCACATACTGATGATTTCAACAGTGATTCTCTCCCATTGCACTCTATCACTTGAAGCTGATGTTTTCAACACCTAGTGATTGTAAGTGCTGGAAGATAAAACAATTCATTTACCACCATGAGTGGCAACTGCAGTAGATTCCTCCCACATACCAGCAGGCAAGCAATTGCCATCCAGCTTCCCACCCCTCAAAGACCACTAAATCTTGGCCATTGGCACGGAAGGTGCCTTCCTATCAGAAACTGGAGAGCTACAAGCCCCAATTCCACCCTTAAAGCTTTCCTCCTCGCTTTGCTACAACAGCTTTTCTGTTGCAGATGCCTTTTAACTGAAGATCTCCTAACTGCAGCTAGAATACTTTGAATTCAATGCCAGATTCACCATGAACTAAACTTGCAAAGTCTGTTGTCTTCACTGCAACGCAATATCCTTTGGTAAAACCTTCACAGAGAGGAACAACATGTCTGCATTCAGCCAAACCCCAGCCACTCACTCCTCTCCTCAATCCTTGCTTTTATGCAAGACTGAAAAATAAATTCTAAAAGGCCCTTTGCAGCTCCCCGTCTTTACAAGTTGGCAGCATCCCTAAGGGTGAACAGAACAATTTCTTCCTTTCCTCTAATACTAGCAGGGAGAGTGCAAATTACAGCAGAATTGGCCAGAAAGAAAAAATGTATGTTTGAGATCTAGTGTAATCAAGCACCCAAGATTTAGCAGGAAAACTTTAAATCTTAACCACATTGTACCGTAGCTGCTCATCTACCCAAACTTTCTTACAAGGTTGCTGCCAGGATTACATGAGAAAACCACATAGATTTCTAAAAGAAGTTAACATGTTCATTACTAAGATACAGCGGTTATTAGCTAACTGGATTTTAGAAAAAGAAAAACTCCTTAACAGGAGAGGTGGAAACACAAGTCTCTTATCTTTATACCAGATATTGCTAACATACCAGGAGTTCGATCTTTGCCCCGGTTAAGCACTACTGATGACTTACGATACATCTGTGTTTTCACCAGGCAATCTTTAGTTTTCTTTGCATATATACTTAGCATATTCACACAGTGTTTCATCCCTTAATAGAAGCATCCAGGGCAGGTTTTCAGCTATGCAGGCGAATTTAAGTGCTAGGTTACCTTCCTCATAGTTACCACACACATACACATTAGATAGTGCTTAATGCCAGGTTTATTTAATGCCAGTTACAGACTCTCCCAACACAGAGAATGGGCAGAGGCACAAGAGCTGTTTTCTTTCTTTCTGGAGCAGCCAGCTTTGGTTACAGGCTAAACGAAACACATCTGGATAAGGCTGCAGATGTTGGGAGGAAGCCGGGAGCTGCTCTTCGCTCAGTCGCTGGACTCGCCCAGAGTCAGACGGTCAAAGAGGTACTCGCCGAGGCCTTCATCCTGGGCACGCACACGCGTCAGGTTGGTCACATGGTCTCCCAGTTTCTTGATCAGCTTCACCTCTTCATCAAGGTAGTGAGTCTCCAGGAAGTCACACATCTTACAGGTGGAAAGGAAATAATCTTAGGACTAACTTTTGTACGTTATTCCCCTTAATGTTGAGACTGGTCGGGGCTGCCTTACAAAACCACTTAATGCACATTCATCTTCTTATTATAAAGTCATTGTAAGAGAGGACCTTAGAAAGTGACTTCATCTGTCCCACCCAAAATAAGAAATCTAATACTCTTGGTGTAATGACAGCAGTCCATTCAGCTGGACTCTTGTTCAAAACCATGTAGCCTTTGATAAGACCACAAATGTAGAAATAGATAGAAAGATACTCAGCTGCCCAATAAAATTATTCTCAAAACAAGTTTCTTGCCTTCAAAAGCTCTGTACAAATATCTATGAATATATGGTGTGTGGAGAAGACGGTACTATGTGGCTTAGGTACTGTGATCTTCCACCATGAGGAGACGGCAAGTCTCCAGAATTCAAGGCCCCAAGAGCATTTGAGAAAGAACCAGCCACGTGTTCCCGGACAGGCACTCTGCAGTTATATGAAGTAGCAGTTATAGAAAGTAGCAACTGCGCCTCGCTCTGCCTGTTCTCTCCATCAATACTTACATGGGGATCAGATTGGCGGGAAGCCACTTGGTGCAAATCCAGTAGAGCCTGGTTCACGCTCTTCTCCAGGTGAAGGGCAACCTGCATGGCAGCAGCTCCATCCTTCCATTCATCCTGCTCTGGTTTCTGAAGTGAATAGCGCAAAGTGTTAGACACTGCATCTGCCATAGCATCTTCTCCTCTTCTGCCTCTCAGCTATCCATTCTGTGACGCATATCTTCCAAATCTCCCTATATTATCCTACAACAAGCTAATTTTGAGGCAATGGGTCATGTAACTCGTTGCACTCATATTTGTAGATACAACACCTACCTGTGCTTCCCCAAAAACAAGAGAGGGTCTTATATTAATTTTTGCTCCAAAAACGCATTAGGGCTTATTTTCAGGGAATGTCTTATTTTTTTTTCATGTACAACAATCTACATTTATTCAAATACAGTCATATCTTCTTCTGCTGGCTGCACAATGGAGGAAGGCGGGGTTTCACTTAACTGGGGCTTATTTTGGGGGGTTGGGCTTATACTACAAGCATCCTGAAAAATCATACTAGGGCTCATTTTCAGGTTATGTCTCGTTTTTCAGGGAAACAGGGTAGTTACTTTTTAAGGACACCAAGCGGGGTCCTCTCCCCATAATCCTCTGCTCTCCCCTCTTTTACTTTTAATAATCACTGCCTCCTTATCCCTGCTTCAGCCAGAACCATGCACCAACTCCTAGGAGACAGAGAAAGAGACAAGGAGAGACTCTGTCTCACCCTGACATCCTGCAGGACAACTCTGCCGCCACGACGGTTTTGGAAGGTCAAAAGCTTCTCAGCTTGTTCGTGCTTCTCCTCAGACAGGTGCCGGAAGAAGCTGGAGAACTTGGACAGAGCCACATCATCCCGGTCGAAATAAAAGCCCTAGAACAACAAAAGGAAAGCAATAAAGGTGGCTGTATTCTAGCCTTTCAGAGGGTGTGTGTGGTGTGTGTACACATATAACTGGAGAGGCAACGTAGAGAACGGCAACATTAAGAATCTCCAGATGTTTATGGACAGCAATCCCTGTAACATTTTAGTATTAGCTATGCTGATAGATTGGAGTTGTAGACTAAAAACATCCATATTAACCCTAATAGGACTTGGGAGGCATGTGAGACATTCAAGGAATAGATTTGAACCCAGGTCTCTAGGGTCCTAGCCTGACATTCTGTCCTGTACACCATGCTCTCTCTTCTGGCATGATTTTCCATGATTTTCCATTATGGGTTTGACCTTCCAGAAAATCAGAACCCCCTCCCAAAAAAATAGTTTAAAATAGATTCACCAGCAAGAGTTTTGCATGACACCTGACTAACCCCATTTTATTGTGATTCTCTCTTCTCTCCAGAAGCAGTTACTGTACCTCACTATGCAGTTAGCAATATGGAGGAGATGGATTTAAAAAAAAAACCCAGAGCAAGCAGTCCTACATCAAGGCTAGGGCTCTAGATTGTAATTAGAACAAATTAGCAGTTTGGTGGTTATGTCTGCACTGAACATGTTTGTCTATGCCACTCTTTAAAGTCACTACATTAGGAAAATCCCAAAACATTTTTCAGATAAAACTTTAACCCTCCAGTAGCAGAAAAATGGGCGAAACAGGCCAAATCAGAATTAGGCACATATGAACTTGTGTGGCATCCAAAACATTTTTGGCCCCTAAGGAGCACTTGAAATAGCTTCTATTTTCTGAAACAAGACAGGTAATTACAGGAGAGCAAGCATTTCTTGTAGTTGCACCCATACACATGCACGCAGAGTATGCTCCCCCAGCAGATTCAGGACCTGCCTTCACTCCCACTATTTTAGGCATCAAGCTACAATGTTCCCTGTTGACTTCAATTAATTTTTAAACTGACTGCATTTACTGGCGCTTTTGGAACCATTATTCTATATTTTTATCTGCTTGGAAGCTGTACTTGTTCAGTGTGACTTACACCCAAAAAGACAGGTGCAACATCGATAGGATCTTTTGCAAGTCTTTAATTCATAGGGTCACCCTATTATCAGAAGCAAACTGACAGCAGATAACAACCAGGAACAGATACTGTACAAGGCTGCAAGTCATAAAAGAGAATTTAAAGCACTTTGCACCTGCTTATTAATTTTCCTAACACCTTTGTAAGGTAGCACCATAGGGCCAAACAGACAGAGCAAGGACTTCTCTATGACAATGCTTATTAGTGAATGGAGTCTTTCTCCCTTGTATTCACAGGAACTACATGCCAACATCTATCTTCTAGTACTGTACTAGAAATATGAGCTGAAAAGAAAAAGCATCTACAACTTTTAACCTACAAGATACACTTTTGAATAATTACAGGCCATTGTCTTCAAAAAGCTTAAGCTTCTCAGGTTTAAAATAGTCACATTGTTATTTGTTAAGCCGACACTCATCCAAATCTCTTTCCTGCAGATGAACAAGGCCAACTTTGCTAGCCCAGTATCTTCCAACAGCACTTGTAGTACAACTCGCACCACCCCTGCTGGCATTTGCCAAATAGCTGGGGATGATGAGAATTGTGGTGTTGTACATCTGGAATGCACCTACTAGAGAAAAGCTGACCTAATATTTTCTGCAAGTGTACTGGGGAAATCTGCCTAATGAATAAAATTAGGGCTTGATCAGGAAATTCTAAGTTCTTCTTTTATTTCCTGGTAACTTATTGCTGGACTCAAGCTAGCTTCCAATTGAAAACTACATACCAATCACATTTCAAACTTTTTTTTAAATTCCCCCAGAAAGTTGGGGGATTTTAGTTTTGCAGTAGTCCTGCATCTAAAGAACTTTATTCAACAGCACTCCTCAAAAAGTCATGGCAATTAACCCAATTCAAGCTAGTTCAGTTGACCAGCGGGCCCCAACTTTTTTGGGACCACAGACCGGTTGGGGGTGCGGGCTCTGTGCTTGGGGGGGGGCAGGGCACCCCCACGCTTGCTGGGTGGTGTTGCGCTTGTGAAGGGGCATGTCACACTTGCAGAGAGCCGTGTGAGCGTGACATGCCCCTCTGCAAGCAAAACACACCCACCGTGCATGCAGGGGAGGCAGAGCTCCATGGTTTTGCAGTAGTCCTGCATCTAAAGAACTGTATTCAACAGCACTCCTCAAAAGTCATGGCAATTAACACAATTCAAGCTAGTTCAGTAGTAGACTACTGTACTACAGACCGGTCACATTGTACTCATGCCGTGCGGGCTCTGTGCTTGGGGGGGGGCAGGGCACCCCCACGCTTGCTGGGTGGTGTTGCGCTTGTGAAGGGGCATGTCACACTTGCAGAGAGCCGTGTGAGCGTGACATGCCCCTCTGCAAGCAAAACACACCCACCGTGCATGCAGGGGAGGCAGAGCTCCATGTCTGTGGCCCAGTTCCAGGAAGCCCACAGATTGACACTGGGCCGTGGACCGGGGACCCCTGCTGTAGACTACTACAGATCGGTCACATTGTACTCATGTTTAGTTGGTATCCAGAACAGAAGAACGTTTATTTTGCACCCAATCGTTCTTCCTTCTACCAGGGGGACATATTGCATCTGTTCCTCTCTACTCCACCCCACCCTTTCAAACTAGCCTTCCAATCTATTTCTAACTTATTTACAGAGCAGTTCAATAAAACTGGATTTCATCCCAGGAGATGGAGCCCATTAGGCCAAAGATCAGGAGTTCTTAAAGATTAACTTTACTATCTTGATAAAGCACTAAAAAAAAGAAATAGGAGAAGGTAAACAAGCAGGAGAGTAGACTTTGTAACCAAAACACCAAACTGCATGCCACACATTTGAGGGCAGGGGTTCCCAACCTTAGGTCCCCAGTTACTATTGGACTAGAACTCCCAGAAACAGCACTAGCTGTGCTGGCCAAGATTTCTGGGAGTCATAATTCAAGAACATCTGTAGACCTAAGGATGAGAACTACTGCTTTAGGGAATGAAACAAAGAGGGAGAATTCTTTAAGAAATCAAGGGATGGAAATGGTGGTGAAAGAAGCAGGAATTTCAAGGAAAAGGAGATTTCACCCAGGAAGAGATCTAGGTGTTCAACAGTGTGGCACCGGAAGAGCATAGGGCAGGGTTGGACAAAGTTATGCCAGCTTAAAAACCCTGGGTCTCTTCAGGTGTAGAGGGAGTGGGAGTAAGACTGGTACTGTATATAGTTTGTAAAAAGCCAGTGTGGTCCAGCAGACAGAGCAGTGGACTAAGATTTAGAAATCTGGGTTCAAATCCCTCTTCAGCCATGGAAACTCTTGGGAAGAGGATACCACTGGTAAAATCATGCCTTAATGATAAGAAACTGACCTACAGTTTCTTACTGGGAAACTGTAAGTCAGATGTGCCAGGAGAACACATAAGAAGCAAGCAATGCCCACAGTAAAGATTGCTGGCTGATAAATAAAAGGCAGGATTTCACACGGAGGCTGCAAGAATCTGCTTTCAAAACAGTTCCCCCCCCCCCCCAGCAACGCAACACCCTCTAGCTGTGCTTTCCCACCACTCTCATCCATCAAAGCTGGGCTTCACAATCCAGCACATCAGCCAAAGGGCGCTGTGCTGCAGGAGCAATAACTGGTAAACTGAACAAACAAACACTGCGAAGACAGTGTTTTCCCATCATGCCCTCAAAGGATGTTTACCCCAAGCAAACAAAGCAGGAAGGCTGAGCTACTGGAAAACAGCATCAGGTTATTCTTTCAGACTTTAATGAAACGCATAGAATTTTGGAGCTACCCATCAGAAACTGATGCACGGCCCGAGGAAAATGAATTGTCAAAAGCCTGCTTTATTATTATTATTTTTTAAATACTGTACAGTAGTCTAATAAAGGCATCCCCTATTCCTGCCTTTGTACTGTTTGCAAGGGAATCTCACGCTACCCCATCACCGCCCACTGAAGAGACAAAATGGCAGATGGAGCGCTTATTATAAGCACTAGATCGGGGGGGGGGGGAGAGAGAGAAGGACCAGAATACAAGACTCTCCCCCCACCCATCTTAGAAACCATTGATCTATCCAGCAGTGGAGCTTGTGATGAGGATCCATCCAGCAGCGAATTACGTACGCCACCTGGAGGTCCTTCGAAGAAAGGCGGTGTATAAAAGCAGAAAACAGTGAAAGGCGGGGGGGTCTCTCTTTGGGCTAATTACACAGGGAGATCTTTCTCTTTTGATTTTAAAGCACACCTGCAAGGGGAGGGGGAACGCATGCGGGAGAGGGAAGATTGTCGAGGTTACCACTTCATCCTTTAGGCATACTCACCAAGGACAGGTAGGTGTAGCTGGCACGGAGGAAATGGTTCACCAGGCTGTTGACCCCACCTTCGCTATAAGCGTGGTAGTTCTGGCGGATCTGGGAGCTCATGGCGGAAATGGAGGTCGTGCGGATGAGCTGGCAAGTTTAAGGAATGGAGGAAGATGGGGGGCGGCCGCTGCCTTGCTCCGTTCAAGCACTGTTGAAGCAAGAAGCAAGGAACGACGGACCAGGAGCGGATCTGAATCGGGCGTGCCGCGATGGAGGGTTTTTATAGCCAGCTGCGAGGCTCTTCCAAGACCCTCCCTCCGTGCTGAGTGCAAAAAAAAAGAAAGAAGAAGAAGCCCCGCCCTCAATTGGCTCTCCTGAAGGAGGGGGGCGGTAGTTTCGCTCTTCTGGGGCCCTGCAGTCAATAGGCAGGTATGCAGGAGAACAGCCGGCCTGCCCGCCCTTGCGCATGTGTGGGTTGTGGGACAAGCTGCAGCTGTTGTCATACAAGATCTTTTTGAAAATCCAGCGGTTAAAAAGGGCAGAAGCCCTAGCCAAGAGGCCCTAATATTTTGGGTCTTGACACAATAGTGAAGCACAGCCAAATTTTAATGGGATTAACATCTGGAGTTGTACAGATCTGGCTCCCCAGAATGGGTGGTGGTCCTACAGAACATGAGTAGCAATAGAAGTATTTATATAAAGACAGAAGTGATACAGTGCTGGATTGAGACTTAAGGGATTTAGGATCAAGATCCCCACTATGGTGAAACTCGCTGACTAATGTCACATGAATCTGTCACATACACATAGGTTTACCTACTGTACGTGGGTGTTGTAAAGCTAAAATGGGGGGGGGGGAGAAAGCAATTTTTGCCACTTTGGGTTCATTAAAAGTAATGGTTGGACAATATGTTACAAATTCTAACCCAATACTGTATCTCCAGTTAATATACTAGTTGAAACCCTACCCAAACAAAGATAACTTGGCTATAGGAAACTACAGTCTGCTACCCAACCCAACCTTCTGTTGTTTCAATGTGTTATCTGTGGAACTGCTTTTTTAAAGGGTTTGGAAACTGCAGGAAATCCAGTATAGGGCTATAAAATTATCACATGGATCAGAGTATAGTGAATGCATGACACGAATGTTTTTCATTGTGATAGGCACTCTTGGACCATCCAGAAGTTTGCTATACAATTTCCATTGGTCCCACCCAGCATGGTTTACACTGAGACAGTAAAAGGACTGCAGTAAAAATATCAAATAGACCAAAAGTGCCAACAATCCATTTGAAGGAAGTCAACCCTGAGTGCTCACTGGAAGGACAGATCCTGAAGCTGAGGCTCCAATACTCTGGCCATCTCATGAGAAGACTCCCTGGAAAAAGACCCTGATGTTGGGAAAGTGTGAAGGCAAGAGGAGAAGGGGACGACAGAGGACGAGATGGTTGGACAGTGTCATTGAAGTGACCAAAATTAATTTGACCCAACTCTGGGAGGCAGTGGAGTACAGGAGGGCCTGGCATGCTCTGGTCCATGGGGTCACGAAGAGTCAGTCAGACATGACTTAATGACTAAACAACAAAAGCCCAGCCTCTGCTGTTATCATTTGCAGTGGTTCCCAATTCATTTGGGGACCCAGTTTAAAGTTATGGTTGTAACATTTAAAATCATTAACACCTTGGATTCCAGTTCACCTGAAAAAATCACTTTCTTCCCTACCTGGATCCTCTTCAGAGATTCTGCTCCTTGTTCTCCTGCAGAATAACATGACCTGGGTGACTATTAGGGGAAGTCCCTTCTCTGTGGTAGGAACAACATGACCCCTACTGGCATGAAAAATGAGTGGCTGACATATGGTAAGCATCTTTGTGGTTTGCCCATTTTTGCAATAACTTTGATTCATCTGCCAGCTTCGGGACCAGCTCTACCATTAGGCAAAAACAACCTGTTGCAGGCAATTTTGTTGTTGTGTGCTGTCAAGTTCCAACTTGTAGTGACCCTATGTATGAGTGATCTCTAAAATGTCCTGTCTTCAACAGCTCAACTCTTGGAGATCCAAGCCTGTGACTTCCTTTTTGGGACTCAATCCATCTCACGCTTTTAGAGGTCTACAAAAAGGCAGCAAAATGTTATTTTGTTTGGAACTATTGTACGTTCACAACCAGGGAGACACTTGTGGAAATTGCTGCCTCAGGTGTCAAAATAACTTGGCTGGCTTTGAATATGTTTGGCTTGTGAGTGTGGTTGCAGTACTTACTGTTCTACGTCAGACAGGATGTTTATCTCGAGCTGACTCTGCAGAGTTTTTTGGTCACTCTCCAGATCATATCGTTGTTCAGCTAAGCTGGCTTTTTCTACTGCATAACACAATCTCTAAACTCACAACAACCGGCAGAGAAGTACTGAAGCACAGTAACTAGCCATCCCTTTTGCACACAAAACTCACCTGCTGAATTTTAGTCACAACTGACCATTTTTTACCACAGGTGGAAACATGTTCCATGAGCATTGCATCCCCAACAACAAATAAATTCATCTTTTCTCAGTAATGGTACAGTTGTATATCATAGTATCGTTCATTTTTTTTCCTCACGCGCTCCACTGGCTTCTGATTTATAGTTACCCTAATGGGATTTTTGAGGTACCGGTATGTGAAATATTCAGGAAGTAATATGTCATTGCCATCTCTCAGTGAGTTACCATGACTGAGTAGGGATTTGAACTCAGGTCTTTTGTACCCTAGTTTGACATACTATCTGTTACATCATACTGAGTCTCCATCAGTTTTATTTTAACCAGATTACTGGTTCTTCTGATAAACTGGGATAATCTCTTGCCATAATCTTTTGCCAAATGGATTTATTCATATTAGAGCTAGAATAACAACTGTTTTTTTCCTCCCCTCACAAATTCATGTGGTGCCTTTAACTATAAAATCTAGCAGAAATACAACCACCAGCCATTCCAACAGAGGCAGCTTTCCTTTCACTCCATTCCCACACTGGGGATGAAAATAAGAAACTATATCTGTTGAATATCTGGGGACGTCAAGATTGCTGGTTAAGGATAGTTCTCTATAAAGAAGCTAGCCAGATTTCTATTGAATCTTGATGTCACTATTTGGAATATATACTCCACTATACCTAGGCTAGACTGAGGCAGAGCTTGGAAAAGTCACTTTTTTAAACTATGAGTCTCTCAGCCATGTTGGCTAGTGCATTCAGGGAGCTGCAGTCCAAAAATGTAACTTTTCAAAATGTTGTGTCAGGGGTATAGAGCAATGCACAGTTCTGATGTCCAATATCTGAGAGCTGTTTCCTGCCCTTCAATGTCTCCTTTCTAAGACAGCCACTTTCTTCTGCTCTGTGGTAAGGCCTAGCTGAACCCAGTGCTTAACATTAATACCTTAAGAGTCTTCATGCTGGCAGGAAACCCTGACACCCAATGCTACTTTAAAGGAATACCCGTGAGGAACCAAACTGGTTGGTTTCTGAGGTGATAGAAATACAGTACCAGGGGAGACAGTAACAGAAAAATAACAACAATGATAAATGATAATGTGCCGTCAAGTCAACTTAGAATTATGGTGACCCTTTTTGAGGATTTTATAGGTAGAGAATACTCAGAAATGGTTTGCTATTCCCTCCTTCTTGGGGTGCTTTGGGATTTTGCAGCTTGCCCACGGCCACCCAGGCTGGCTTATCTCCCAGAAGGCACAGTGGGGAATCAAACACTCAACCTCTGACTCCACAGCCAGATACCTAAACCAATGAGCTATCCAACCAGCTAATGGAGAAATAAGGCAGTCAGAATTTCTGGCTGCTTAAAAAAAGTCTATCAGCCTCTGAATTGTTGAGACACCAAGACTGTTGATGCCTTTCAATACACGGAATTCTCCTTTGAAGGAGAGTTTCATGGGATTAAAATAAATGACTCCCTTAACTCTTCCGTAAGCAACCTTTCCTCCCTCATTAACGTGACTCAGCAAAGAAAACCACTTGTGCTACGCAGGCTGACAACAAATAAGAAAACTCAGAATGATTCAGCAAAAAAGGCCTTTTCAGTACCTCTTCCTCCTCCTCCCCCCACTCCTGGTCATTGTTTTCAAGCTTGAAGCTGTTCTGCCAACTGACCACCACCCCGACTTAAAAAGAACTGGCTGATGCAATGGTGGAAGTAGAGAGATTAAAAATAAGGGTTTTTCTTCTCTTTCTTGCTCAGTAACTCGAACATTTGCACCCTTTTGACACAATGAGTTTAATCCTGAAAAAAGTACAGTATAGGCTAAAAGTGATAACCCAACTGTTGATCTTTTTTTCTTTCACACAGACCAGCATGATGATCTGTTTCTCTCTCCCTTTTTTTTCCTTCTCCCTTTTTTATCTTTAAATTGGCCAGCATTTGAGGGGAGGATAAACCAGTTTAGGTTCATCCAATCCAATTCCAAGCACAGAGTCAGATTAATGACTAAAGATACCTCTGTTCCTGCTTGACAAGGGCTGGACTCAATGATCCATAGGGTCTTTTCTAACTCTGCTGTTCTATTAGCGTTAGCGTTATTATTAGTGTTTGTGTTATTGACATGTAGCTCCTAAAGCATTCTTGTTGAGATTGCATGGTTAGTAATGCGATTCTGTGAATACATCTTAGAAAAAGGAACCATACGCACAGAAATCTATTCGTCAAGGTGTATTAAATAGTGAGGCAGAGTTTTTCCATCACTTTGTTGTTTCTGAGACACAGGCTTTAAAAAGCCAACCAGGCAACCCAATCCTAAAAACAACTGATTACTTAGTTTAAAATTCTACCTATTTCAGTGGGACTCAAATCAAGCGCTAATAAGGTGGCAACATTAAAAAGAAGACATGGCTGCTGTGCCTTTAACACCTGCATTGATTTGGAAGTGTCATAAGGTGTACTCAGAGCTGGGCAATTTTTTTAAAATAAGGTGTACTCAGAGCTGGGCAATTTTTAAAAAATTATTATTACTTAACTTATATGCCGCCCACTCTACCCAAAGGTCTCTGGGCGGCTTAAAATAATTAAAATTCAATAAAAAATAAAATGATTAACATACAATTAAAATTGCCATCAGGACCCACAGTTGATGTTAGTTCAATTAAAAGCCTTCTGGAACAGGAAGGTTTTGACCTGGCATCGAAATGTCATCAAAGTCCACGCCAGACGAATTTCAGTCGGGAGGGCATTCCATAGTCTGAGGGCAGCTGCTGAAAAGGCCCTTTGTCTATAAGCCATCCCTCTTCCCTCCTTGAGG